GAGCAAGGGGCACAGCGATAAGGACGACATGCGCTGGCACCTGCATGTGAGTGACGACGGCTGCATGTGAGTGGGACCTGCATGTGAGTGGGACCTGCATGTGAGTGGGACCTGCATGTGAGTGGGACCTGCATGTGAGTGGGACCTGCATGTGAGTGGGACCTGCATGTGAGTGGGACCTGCATGTGAGTGGGACCTGCATGTGAGTGGGACCTGCATGTGAGTGGGACCTGCATGTGAGTGGGACCTGCATGTGAGTGGGACCTGCATGTGAGTGGGACCTGCATGTGAGTAATGGTATCTCAGTCACTGTGCAATAGTTATGTGTGAGGGTGAGAATTTCTGGTACGGTGAGTCGGGGTGCAGCTGAGCAAGGGGAACGGTGACAGACAAGGACAACGACATGCGCTGGCACCTGCATGTGAGCCATGGCTTCTCAGACCCAGTGCATTAGTCATGAGTGAGGTTGGGCTGTGCAGTGAGGGTGTGGGTGTGTGAGGGTGAGCAAGGGGCACAGCGATAGGGACGACATGTGCTGGCACCTGCATGTGAGTCACGTCATGGTTGCATTGCACGTCATGGCGCCACCAACACCTGTTCACACGGACTGACATGTCTACCCACATCTCCCCCGTGCTGTGCCTCCATCGCCCCATCCTCTCCACATCGCCCCCCCATCAGATATTGGAACTGAGGGGGCACAACCTGCTCCCAGCAGACGCCAACGGCTTGTCTGACCCGTGAGTCACCTCTTCCCCTAAACACCCTCTCATCGCCCGAGAAATTCCATGCACTCCAATGCACTTCCCTGCACTCCCTTTCACCCCTCTCCACTCCCCCGCACTACCCTGGTTTCCCTCCCCCTCGCAAAGCCCTATTCCCCACGTCCTTCCCTCCCACTCAGCCCTGTCCTCTCCCCCACGCCCTGCCCTGACTTGCTGCTCCATCCATTCTTTGGAATACACCACATCCTTTGCTCTATATCAACCCCTGCTATGTCTGAGTCACTTATGAAATTTCTCAAAAATTGCTGCTTCGTCCATTTTTGGAATGGACCACATCCTTGGCTCTTCCACTCTCTGCCCTCTTTTGCCCTCTGCCCTCTTTTGCCCTCTCTGCCCTCTTTTGCCCTCTCTGCCCTTCCTGCTTCAATCTCCTCCCCACTCTCCCTCCCCACACACACACACCCCTCACAGCTGCATCCGTTTCATGGGTCCCAACCTCTTCAAGTCCTTTCAGACCAACAAGTGCTAAAAGTCTCTCAACCCCATGTGGAGTGCTGATATGTCATGCTGCCATGCGCCTCTCCTCTCTCTCCCTTCACACACCCCTCACAGCTACATCCGTTTTGTAGGCCCCAACCTCTTCAAGTCTTTCCAGACCAAGAAGTGCTACAAGACACTCAACCCTGTGTGGGGCGCTGATGTGAGTGCTGGGAGTGCTGCCAGACAGGTGGCGCTGATGTGATTTCTGGGGCTGGTGGGATTGCGAGGGGTTGTGTCAGCAGCAGCTTCAATGCGAGCTATTCACAAAGAAGTGCTACAAACAAGACTCTCAACCCTGTGTGGGGTGCTGATGTGAGTGCTGGGAGGAGTGGTGGGAGTGCTGGGTGGTTTTGTGCTGGTTGTTTTAGGGTAGGTGACGTTGCTGTTGCGTGCAGATTAAAAAGGCTTGTAGCTGCCCCACTGTAGACGATTTCAACATCGCTTTCAGGTACGTTGTGAGCATGGTTATGAGGTTTGGTTACGAAGCTTGTTTGTGAGCCTTGGTAATCATGAGCCTCGGTTATACGCTTGTTTGGTTGTGAGACTTAGTTGAGCGTTGGACAAATGCACCCCACGCTCTGCCTACCTCCTCCCCTCTCTGTCCCACCCCCTCCTTTCTTTCATATGCCTTCCCACTGCTACAGGATGTACCTGCTATAGTGTTGGAGCACCAGTCACTGCATTACTACGAGAAGGACTATCTACTAGCAGCTGTGTTCGATTATGATAAGACAAACAAAGACGACCCTATAGGTGTGTGGTAGCTCCATCCATCCATGTTTGCCATCTGTACCTGCTACAGGCTGTACCTGCTGTAGTGTTAGAGCACTAGTCACTGTGTACAATGAGAAAGACTATCTACTCGCAACCGTATTCGATTATGATAACCGAGTGTGAGCACTCCCACCACTCACATCAGCACCCCACTACTCCCAACACGGACGACCCTAAAGGTATGTGGACGTTCTGTCTATCCATGTTTGCTCATCTGTTCCCGTTAGAAGCTGTATCCACTGTAAAATGTACCCTCTACAAGCCGTAACCACTATACGACGCTAGTCTGTCGTCAATCGCGTAGGCCATTATTCCATATCATGAGAAAAGATCGAGGCTATGAGAAGCCATGCGGCAAAGCTAAAAGGCACAACCACTGGTTCTCTAACTGATCCTCCTCAATTGAATGCCCCCACCCCACCAGGATACGCTGCAATCCCATTGGCTGATCTTGTGAAGGCCACGTGGGAGCAGTCCTCTCAGCCAGTCAGCTTCCGGGTAGAGGTGACCTATAAGGGCCTGCCAGCTGGCGAGCTGGAGGGCAGCTTCCGTCTTTTCTGGGCGGTGAACAAGCTCAGCGAGGGCAAGTGTGCGCAGATGTAATTGTGTTGACGGGAATGGCGGCAGATGTTATTGTGTTGACGGGAATGGGCAGGAGATGTGATTGTGTACAAGTGAGTTTTGGCGCAGGCGTGATGATGCAGAGGTTTGTGATTGATCCGCACCAAGGGTGAGCAGCAGATGCGGCTACCTGAAGACATACGGGCAAAGAGTTGTTTGTGGAGCTGCCAAGGCGAGCCCAAAGAGACGTGCAGAGGCAAATGGCACACTGTTGACTCACCGCCGCCTTGCTTATCGTGGATTTTTAGGGGAAACAAGAGCAGTGGTGTTGGTGACAGCGGTGGTAGTGGCGGTATCTCAAAAGACTACCGTATTGCTTTTGAGGCGTCACACGAGCCGAGGTTGTGAGGGGGGCATCATAGCAGTTTGCAGTGTTTCCCTTCGGACTGGTGTAGGAGTTACTGCTGTTGGGCTGAAAGCCCCTTTAGGATCTTTGGTAGAGTTTAAGTCTCAGTAAAGTGATGTAGTAGCGGAAGCGCTTGGAGTAAAGTCTTTGAACCACCTTGCGCTAGTATGTGAGGGCAAAGTAAGTTGATTAAAGCAAAGATATACAAGACTATAAATATATGAATACAGAGAATATGAAGAGACATAATTATAACTACTTTACTGTTGCGGTTCGATACAGTGCGACTCGGGCAATTGCTCAATGTCGAGTCAGTTGTGTGTCCTTGCTGTTGCGCTGCATTTGTCAGGTCAAAGGTCGCTGACCTTTGACTTTCGCGTAACCTCCAGCGGTTACATCAACCTCTGAGGGTTGACTCGCTGGTGCTTCGATATGCGCTGCTTCGCTTGTGTCTTGGTGTTTCGACACGACAGAGGCGCTTAGGACTGTTTGTTCCCAACACTCCCCTTCGCTTCTAGAGTGTCGCAGATGGTGACGTGGCTTTGTCCAGTCAGCAGCATGCAGTACTCGAACTTCTGTTTTCCGAGCTTCTTGGTCAAGTAGTCAGCTGCCATCTTGGACGTGGGACAGTAGGATAGTTCGAGTTTTCCCTTCTCGATCTCGTCTTTCACGAAGAAATATCGCAGAGCGATATGCTTCGTTCTGTTCGCGAATCCGCTTTTGTTGGCGATGCGAATCGCAGATTGGTTGTCGCAGAACAGAGTGAAGTTGGGTAACTCGGCTAACTTCGCTTCTTCCAGCAGCTCGCGAAGATAGAGTCCTTCCTTGGTGGCTGAGCAGAGTGCAATATATTCTGCTTCAGCTGACGAGAGAGCGATTAGTTCCTGCTTGCTCGATTGCCAGGAGATCGGTCCGATAGGTTCGAGGCGGTAGATGTAGCCAGTGCGGGAGCGCCTATTGTCTGAGTCGCCAGCGTGATCGGCGTCGACGTAGCATATTAATTTCGTCGGTGTAGTTGTGTTCTTGTAGTATGTCAGGCCGATCGTTGAGGTGCTGACGAAGTAGTGGAGAGCGCGGTCGAGTTCCGCCAGGTGTTCTGCTTCAGGTCTTTTGAGGTAGGTGGCGAGTTGACTTGCGGAGTAGGATAGATCTGGGCGGCAGGTGACGGCTGCGAAGAGAAGGCAGCCCAGCTTTTTTCTGGTAGTCGCGTATCCCGGCGGTTTTGAGTAGAGAGGATCCTTCATTGTGGTTTCCTGTCGTGTAGCGGTAGAGCATAGAGATGGTGGTAGGTGTGAGCGCGAAGCGTTTGACAATGGTGTCGGCGTACTTAGCGGCGTTGAGGTAGATCGCGCCTTCTTCCTCCCGAAAGTTCAAGCCGATGTACTGTTTGACGGTAGAGGAGACCGTGAGTGTGAGATCCCTCTGTAGCTCCCCTTCGAACCAGGTGGTGATGTCGTCGGTAGAGCCGATGTAGAGCAAGTCGTCTACGTAGACGATCAGCAGAATGTAGTCGTTGTTTTTGGTGAGTCGGTACATCCCTTGGTCGTGAGGCAGTTGGCGGAATCCGATGCGAGTGAGGCGAGCGTGTAGGTACTGTTGCCATAGCCGCGGGGCTTGCTTGATCCCGTAGAGCGATTTTAGCAATTGACAGACTTGGTTAGGTTCCCCGTGGGTACCGTGTGGAAGCTCGACGAAGATTTCCGCGTCGACGGGTGCGTAGAGGAACGCGTTGGCGACATTGATTTGCCGTAGTTTCTTCTTCTTCATAGCGGCGATCGCGAGGAGAATTTGAAGTGAGGTATGTCGGCTGACTGGGGCGAATGTCTCGGTGAAGTCCCGTCCGTGCTCCTGATCGAATCCACGCACAACCCAGCGTGCTTTGAATTTCTCGATTGTGCCGTCTGCCTTCGTTTTGATGCGGAAGACCCATTTCCCGGTGAGAATGGTCTTATTCCTTGCCACGCTGATGGGAACAACTTTCCAGGTGTTCCGTTACTCCAGCGCTTTTAAACTCTTGTCCATGGCTTCACGCCATTTTTCCCTGTGTTCCCCCCCCAGAGCCTGCTGAACCGTCGCAGGCTCTTTAGGGAGAGCGCTGCCATGGACTGCGGTGACGAGGCCGAGAATCTGCAGTCCAGTCTGTGAGTAGCGGGGAAGAGTTGTGTCCTCGGGATAAGCTGCTTCATCTTCCGCTTCTGGCTCGGGTATGAAATTCGGCCCTAGCCGTTCTACTTCGTTGGTGTTGACTGTCGCAGGTGTTACGTAACCATTGTCGGCGAAGTGGTAGAAGACTTCGGCGTTGGCGCTTTCGCGAGGGTTGTCTTCGTCCATGGGGACGTTGACGGAGCAAAACGGAAGAGGTCCGGCTTCTTCTGATGCGTTGTCCACATTCTGCTCGTCCCAGTCTGCTTCGTCCGCTGCTGAGGCGAAGGCTCGGTCACCACGAAAACCACCTGTGGGATCTTGAATTTCGTGCAAGTTGGCAAGGTACGTCTGAAGCGTGAGTCGTTCGTAGAAGATTACGTCACGTGCTGCTACTATTTCCTTGGAGTGGACGTCGAAGATTTTCCATGCGTTGTAGTTCTTTTCGATGCCGAGGTGTAGTCCCCATTGTGCGCGTTGTGAAAATCTTCCCGCTCGTGCTTCTGGGGGTCGGTACTGTACCATGCACCCGAAAACTCGTAACATTTTTGTGCTGCCCTGTTTCCCTGTCCACAGCAGATGCGGTGACGCGTTGTTCGGAAGTGAAGACGACGACATCAAGTTGTGCAGCATGACAGCGTGGTCCATTGCTGCAGGCCACTGGTGGTTGGGTAGCCGCATGCCACGTAACAGTTTGCGCATGCTGTTCTGCAGAGTTCTGTTCATTCTTTCTGCCACACCTTGCTGCTGATGGGCGTAGGGAAGAGAGAGGAGCTGCTTGATTCCTCTTTCCGCCAGGTACTGCTTGAATCGCTGAGAGGTGTATTCTCCCCCTCCGTCTGACTGGAAGCTTTTCAGTTGTGCGCCCGACTCTCTCTCTGCTACAGGTAGCCAGGCAGCAAAGGCTGCGAGTGCCATGTCGCGGCTGGGTAGGTTTAGGTGCCAGACGTAACGGGTGGCGGCGTCGATGAAGGTGATCGTGTAGTTGTATGTATCTTGTCCTGGTTCCCGATTGAACAGGATATCGCTGTACACTTTCTCGAGTGGTGCGTACGCGGGTGCGCTCGGGTTGTGGTGAGGAATGTACGGCCGGTGTGGTAAGTCGGCTTCGGGACAGGTAAGGCAAGTTCCTCATGCCCGTTGAAGTTCTCTGCCGTCGGGTAGTAGTAATGAGTCATTGTCAAGGACTCCTGCTCTTATTGTGTTGTTTAACACAATGTTGCTTGGGTGTCCCATGCGTGCGTGCCAGATATCTTCGGAGGCGAGGTGTCCGGGTGAGCGTCGATATGCGTCGGAGTTGGAGTAGATGCTGGCGACGAAGTTTGCGCTTCTGTGGACTTCCCGTTGAGTCGGATTCAGCTGCTGTGCGGGTGTTGGTGGTGCTTCGTCAACGAGGACTGGTGTCGTTGTTCCTGCTGCTGCAGATGATGATGTTTTTGTTGCTGCCGATGTTGTCTCTGCTGCTGCCGATGTTGTCTCTGCTGCTGCCGATGATGTTTCTGCTGCTGCTGAATGTTGTATTGTTACTAACACACGTGTTCGTTCTGCTTCAGGGATGGTATGTGAATACCAGAAGCCTTCCGGACTGAAGACGGGGTCGAGATCCGGCGGGTGTGTCCAGGATGTGAAGGTGACGATCCCGTCAGTGTCTGCGGTGCCCAGGTCTGGAACGAAGTCGAGGACGAAGACATTGTTCTTCAAGATCGCTTTTCCGATGTAGAGGCCGCCCTTCCCGTGGTACAGCTTGAACTCCTGGGTGGTACTGTCGGCTTCCAGATGTATGCCTTTCGCCATCAACTGGCTGACGCTCAGTAGGTTGTAGCCGAGTCCTTTTGCTATCAGGACTTTTGACATTTGTAATACGACATTCGTCTCCCGTGACTGAAGTTGCACTACTCCTTGTCGTCGTGTGCGCAGGTTCTGATTATTGGCGACAATGATGATGACTTCTCGTTGAAGTTGCTGCTCGCGTTGAACGAAACGTCCTGAAGAGCACATGTGTTGTCCGCAGCAACTGTCCAAGAACCATGTGTCCTTCCCGGACGGCTCGCTTTGGGCGATGGCAGCGTACATCGGGTTTGGTTGAAGTGACTCGCGGCGAGGCGTGCTGTTGTCGAGTTGTTCTTCTGGTGAGTTATATGGTGGTGACTCAGTTGTGCAGGAGTCACTCAGCCTTGCCATGCAGCTGACGATGTTTCTTGTTTCTTTTGCAGGTTGTCCTGTTGAGGTTGTTGAGACGTGGACTGAAGTTGTCGGGTTTGCTTGCGTTGAAGTGACTTGGCTGCTTGAAGGACGAAGTTGGCGTTGTCGATTTGGGCAGTGCGTACGAGGATGCCCTGAAGTTTTGCAGATGTGGCAGAATGGAGGTACTGGCTTCAGTTGTTGCTGCCGATTGTTGTTGTTGTAGCGTCGCTGGGTGTGGAACGCGAACTCTGGTGCTGACGTCTTCCTTTTATGTCGTTCTTCTTGCAGGTCCATGTCTTGCTGCTCGGCATGGATTTCGGCACAGAGCGCTGCTTCGGAGATTCTCCCGTGAGCTCGGAGGATGGCCTTTGTGGCGCGCCATTGAGGACCGAGGCCGCCGATGATGACTGTCACAAAGGCGTCTTCAGAGATCGACCCTCCACATCGAAGAAGCTTGTCGCGCAATTCGCGACATCGACTGATATACGCCAGTCCTTTCTCCCCTGGTTTCATTTCGACTGTTGTCAGTTGCGCCATTAACCGACTTTGACTTACACTGTCTGTTGCTTGATACAGGCTCTTCAGGTGGTTCTACGCGAGCTCCGCGGAGTTACCGTAACCTCGGTAGGTCCTTATGTTCTGCTGTTGAGTCGGGGTGATATTTCTCAGTAAGATCGTGTACGCCATCATTGACTGATAGGTGTACTGCTGCTTCTCGTACTGTGTGCCGTTTGTTGGATATGGCAGGGTCCCGTCGAAGAACCCGAATATCTGCGCGCCTTCCATCATCAGTTCAACTCGAACGACCAGGTGAAGAAATCCTTTCCATCGAAAGGTCTTGACGTCTGCATCTTCAGGACATGTGCGAACTGCGACTGAACTTGCAGTGCGTCCAGTTGTTTTTCTTGTCCAGGTGAGGGCTGTGGTTGTGGCATGAAGCTGATGGATCCGCGCTCATACGGAGCAAAGGTAGGTTGTTGTTGCTGGTTTCCCCGTGCATATGATGAGCCGTCGAGACTCATGGGTGTTGCTCCGTTGTTGTTGCTGTTGTGTGATTACGCAGGTCCTCCTTGTTGATGCTGCTCGTAGAAGGACATGAAGGAGAAGAATTTCTCCATCATGCTTGGATCGAAGCCCACGCCTTGGTTTGCAGAAGTTTCAGTAGACCCAGCTGCCGGTCTCGTTGTTGTTCCTTCCTCTGTCTGTAGGCCAGAGGCAGGAGGTGGAGTAGGAGTAGTACCGGGAGAGCCGTTGGAGGAGCTCCTCTCCTTTCTAGTAGACATATCTCTTGGTGTATTGAGTATTGAGAAGAAGTAATTTAACTCTAATCTGCTCTCATACCATGTTGGGCTGAAAGCCCCTTTAGGATCTTTGGTAGAGTTAAAGTCTGAGTAAAGTGATGTAGTAGCGGAAGCGTTTGGAGTAAAGTCTTTGAACCACCTTGCGCTAGTATGTGAGGGCAAAGTAAGTTGATTAAAGCAAAGAGATACAAGACTATATATATATGAATACAGAGAATATGAAGAGACATAATTATAACTACTTTACTGTTGCGGTTCGATACAGTGCGACTCGGGCAACTGCTCAATGTTGAGTCAGTTGTGTGTCCTTGCTGTTGCGCTGCTCTGCATTTGTCAGGTCAAAGGTCGCTGACCTTTGACTTTCGCGTAACCTCCAGCGGTTACATCAACCTCCGAGGGTTGACTCGCTGGTGCTTCGATATGCGCTGCTTCGCTTGTGTCTTGGTGTTTCGACACGACAGAGACGCTTAGGACTGTTTGTTCCCAACAACTACAGCAGTGCCCCACCTAGCTATATATCTCTTATGCTGTTACGACCCGCTTTTTGGCATCATGGTTTAGAGAGGCAGGGTATGCTAGGTATGACAATGGTAGTGTAACTAGGGATATAAGTTATACATTTACTGTTGTAGCGAATTCTGCAGATGCAGTGTAAATCATTTGCAAGCGAACATACGGTACATTCGTGCAACCATACAACCATGTATGGTATCCAATCCATGTAACCATGTGGGGATGTTACCATGTGGTGCAATTGGTTGTGGTCGTCATGCAGGCATGGAGGCATCTGGTTATGTAACCCATGTAAACAGTGTGCTCCTAGGGCAGCAGCAGGCATGCAGCCGGATTATGTAGCCATGTGACCTTGCAGGCATGCAACAATGCAGGCATTTGCGCATGGAAGCACGTACCCATGTGGGCCACTCCGCCCATGCGATGCAACCAGTATGCTCTGCTAAAGCAGCAGCAGGCATGCATACATGTAGGCACGTGGCTATGTGGTGATGTGGCCCATGCAGCCCAGGTGAGTCACGGCCGATGTGTTTTGAGACGTCTCAAAACTATGTGGCTATGTGGCCATGCGGGCATGTGGCCCATGCGGCCCAGGTGAGTCACGTCCGATGTGTTTTGAGACGTCTCAAAACTATGTGGCTATGTGGCCATGCGGGCATGTGGCCCATGCAGCAGCCCATGTGGCTATGTGGTCAGGTGGCCCATGCAGCAGCCCACGCAGCAGCCCATGCAGCAGCCCATGCAAGTCGCGACCGATGTGTTCTGCTAAGGCAGCAGCAGGCATTGGCCCGAGTAGATCTTGTTCACGTCGCACACCTGGTGGCACACAGGAGGGAAACACTGCAAATTAGCAAGACAGTGCAAACTGCAATCAGTCGAAGTTACAACACGTGCGTCCGATCTGTAACAGGTTGCACCACAACCACATGACGGCGCGCACCTCATGAGCCAAGCACCTTGCTTCCGATCTCATTTTTTCAGGCGCCAAAAAAATGTTCTGACATTCTTAGGTGCCTCAAAAATAGGCACCTCATGAGGCAAGCACCTCTCTTCCGATCTCAAAGGTCGTGGCATGGATCCCATTTCGATGTTTAGCTTGAATGCTGTACGTGCATCTCACCTCAGGGTTGCGCTTGAAGAACTCGGAGTTGGGATCGCACAAGGTGGCTCGGGGGACGAGGGAGCAGAGGGTGTCTCCTGGTCGCACGATCCAGACCCTGCCACCTCACACCAGGCAACAAGAGAACCACATGCTTTTTGAGTCGAATTAAAATAGAACTCTTCGGGTCCCACGCTCCAAATCCTGCACTCACACCAGGCAACGAGAGAGCTTCATGTCATGTGACTGTATGCGAGCCTGACTAATCTAACAAAACAACCTGGTTATTGGAGTTCATTCAGCTTGTCCGTCACCAAACAGCAATTGCAAGGCAGACGAGGGCGTCTTCAGGTCTCACATTCCAGATCCTATGCCTGGATCCTGTTCCAGGCCTTATCCAGCAGGATGTGGATGAGGCCTGGTGATACCTCGGATGAGGCATAGAGACAACCACATGTCTCTGAATGCAACAAGTGTGCTGCCAGGTTTCACACTCCAAATCCTCAACCACGGACCAGGCTCAATAAGAGAACCGCGTCTCATTGAGTGCGAGCCTACTTCATTTAGAAACAGAACGCGAAGTACTTTTGAGACCTCTTGGAAACACTCTCTGAGTATGGGCCTACATCCGGAAACAAAACTGGAGGAATTTCTGAGAATAAACTCTCTGAGTGCGGGTCTAGTTCATCCAGAAACACAACTCAAGTCTTTGAACAACGCAACGGAGCAAGGGAGACAAATACATGCAAGGGAGATAAATACAAGCAAGGGAGATAAATACATGCAAGGGAGACAAATAAACGCAAGGGAGCAGAGCAACGCTCCCACAGTATTGGAAACAAGTTGAAACCCTATGCTCACCAAATGCTCATGCATCCACTTATCCATACAAGATGTATGTCACTCGTTTCTTGTTTGTTACACCACCGGGAACACGATACCTGCAGCGACGCTTCCTTACTTTCCGTCCAATTCCTTGGCGCTCCCATTCCTGATGCACCGCCAGATGCAAGACGGGGTGGCACACGTTTGGAACAACGTCGTTGCAGCATGTTACGTCCGTGACAGGCCATTTCAGTGTTGAAGGCAGGCCATTTCCGTGTTCACCCAGCGGCAAGCCACGCAAGGAGAGAGACGGGAGTGCGGTCAGGGACGGGAGCGGGGAACAGGAGAGAGGGGAGGGAAAGGGAGTCGAGAGGAAAAATAGAGGGGAAAAGGAGAGTTGAAAGTGGGCAAGGAGAGTTGAAAAAAGGCATATGGACCACTAACATTTGATATGCTGTAATGCTTGCAGACATAAGATTAGACAAGGATGATGGAACATTAAGTGTTGTGTAATATCATCATATGCTAATACAATTTCCTGCATGTGTTGTGTAGCATGTGCGTGAGTAAGAATCTACGTGTCTTGTTAATGGGGTGCCTCAGAAGTGTTGATGGTTTTCTTTCTTTTTTCCCCACAGTACTACACACCTTGGGAAGTTACGGAGCAATAACGACAAAGCTGTTACCACCCAGATGTTACAGTGACATTGTTAAGGGAATTTTAGGGAGTGGGGACCATAAGGGCTTCGAAAGAATCATCGCTCTACTGTAGCGAATGCAAACGGGTTGGGAAGGAATCAAACCAAGTAATGAAATATGGCAAACTTGCTTGAGTTGGACGGTATGGGCAGCGGAAAAAAAATATCACATGATTGTCAGAACCAAGACTTCGTTTTAAAACTGAGACACACAGCACTCACTCACTCACCTCATTCGCTGCGCCACCTGCAGTGGCGTCAGTGCCTCAACGTGCTGCCTGGGACGGCGTGGTATGAGCACTGCTGCTGCCAGCACCGCCACGCCTCCGATGGCGAGCACCTGAGGTGTGGGGGGGATGAGTGGGTTGGCATTGAGGGAGAGGGGGAGAGCACGAGGCAGGGCAAGGCACGAGCACCACTGCTGCTGCCAGCACCACCACCCCTCCGATGGCGAGCACCTGAGAAAGTGGGGGGGGGGGGGGGGGGGGAGATGGGTGGGGTGGTACTGGGGGAGAAGAGCACATGCATGACACATCACATCCTGCCACAATGGCATGCATGGCAATAGGCCCCAGCCCTTATTGCGAAACATGTGAGCCCCACCCCACTCACATGCCTGCACTGCATCCATGCCTGCACTGCATCCATGCCTGCACTGCATCCATGCCTGCACTGCATCCATGCCTGCACTGCATCCATGCCTGCACTGCATCCATGCCTGCACTGCATCCATGCCTGCACTGCATCCATGCCTGCACTGCATCCATGCCTGCATTGCATCCATGCCTGCACTGCATCCATGCCTGCACTGCATCCATGCCTGCACTGCATCCATGCCTGCACTGCATCCATGCCTGCATTGCATCCATGCCTGCACTGCATCCATGGCTGCACTGCATCCATGCCTGCACTGCATCCATGCCTGCACTGCATCCATGCCTGCACTGCATCCATGCCTGCACTGCATCCATGCCTGCACTGCATCCATGCCTGCACTGCATCCATGCCTGCATTGCATCCATGCCTGCACTGCATCCATGCCTGCACTGCATCCATGCCTGCACTGCATCCATGCCTGCACTGCATCCATGCCTGCATTGCATCCATGCCTGCACTGCATCCATGGCTGCACTGCATCCATGCCTGCACTGCATCCATGCCTGCACTGCATCCATGCCTGCACTGCATCCATGCCTGCACTGCATCCATGCCTGCACTGCATCCATGGCTGCACTGCATCCATGGCTGCACTGCATCCATGCCTGCACTGCATCCATGCCTGCACTGCATCCATGCCTGCACTGCATCCATGCCTGCACTGCATCCATGCCTGCACTGCATCCATGCCTGCACCTGCCCCACCGCGCTTATCCCCATGTCACAACACACCCATGTGCCATCACATTACATCGCATTGCATCCCATCCCATCCCATCTCATCCCATCCTGCCACACTCTCACCCACATGTGTGACCATAAGCCCTACGCCATCGATAAACCGCTGCACCTGCCCCACCACATGCCTATTCCCTTGTCACAATACCCCCACCCCATGTGCCATCCCATCTCCTCCCATCCCACGCTGTCAAACTCACATGCTTAGCAATAGGTCCCAGCCCATCCATCCACCGCTGCACCTGCCCCACCCCACCACCTCAACACAACTATTCTCTTGTCACAATACCCCCATGTCCCATCCCATCCCATCCCATGCCATCCTGCCTTATTCACACTCACACGCTTAGCAATAGGTCCCAGCCCATCCATCCACCACTGCACCTGCCCCACCCCACCACCCCAACACAACTATTCTCTTGTCACAATACCCCCATGTCCCATCCCATCCCATCCCATCCCATCCTGCCTTATTCACACTCACATGCTTAGCAATAGGTCCCAGCCCATCCATCCAGCGCTGCACCTGCCCCACCACCCCCACCTTCTCCGCCACTGCCCGCCTCCTCACACTCCTCACCCCCTTCCGCTGCCCCACCTGCTGCCTCCTCTCCACCCCCTCCCCCTCCCTCTCCGCCTTCCCTCCCTCCCCCTTCCTTCCTTCCTTCTCTTCATTCCCTCCTCTCCCCCCTCTTCTCCTAGCACTCCCACTGCCATTGCAGAGACTTGCAGTACGACTAACAAAGCCAGAGTCTCTGCAAGAGCCACTCTTGCTTGAGCTGCCAGTTCCAGTCCAGCCACTGCTGACACTCCACCGGCCGCCATACTCCCTCTCACCGCTCTGGTTCACCATCTCACCGCTCCCAATCACAGCCCCTTGGCTGGCGCGCGGGCGTCGCTTCAGCGGGGAGCTCTTACAAGGAGACTGCTTATACGGGGACGCGGCTTGGCCGTAGGTGGCAGCATCGGTTGCAGCACTGCTGCTGGGGCAGCTGCTGTCTCTCCTGCTGCTCTCTCTCCTGCTGCTGTCCCTCCTGCTGCTGCTGTGCACGCCCTGCCTCTCCTTGGAGCGCAAACTGGATGCGTCACAGACACCTATACCTGCCGTTGCTGCCGCTCCATGGGTGGCTGAACCTTCTGGGGTGGTTGGCCCCTCGTGCAGTGACGCTAGTGGTGATGGCGCTGCTGCTGCCCTGCCTGCTACTGACATGCTCTCCCCTGCTCCTGCTTCAGCCCCTGCCAAAGCCGGATCCACTGCAGATGTCTCAGCACTTGCTGTCCCTGCTGCTGCCACTGGCATTGCCACTCCTCCACTTCTCAGCCCCCCTCCTTCCTCACCTCCTCCCCCTTCCGACCTGCCCACCAGACTCCCTTCCGACCTTGCTGGGCCTCCTACGAGTGCTCTCAAACTGCCGGCACTGCCACCAGCGCCCTGGCCTCTCCTCAACACCCGCTGGCCCCCCTGTCCCCCCTGCTGGACCCCCCGCGCTCCCTGCCCCTCCCTCCGCTGTCGGCGCACCTCCTCCCAAAACCGGTCATCCTCTGCCCACCGCTGTAGCAGCAACCCCAGGTGCTCCCCCTTCCCCACACCCTCTCCCCGCCCCACACCCTCCCCCCTCCCCACACCCTCTCCCCGCCCCACACCCTCTCCCTGCCCCACACCCTCCCTCCGCCCCATCATCCCCGCCCTACCCACACCAACCTTCCCCCTCCCCGCAAGCTCGCCCTGCTCCCTCCCCAGCGCGCCCCTGCCCATGCCTCTCCGCCACCCACTGACATCACTGTACCGACCAGGGAAAGGACGCAGAGAGTCTCTCTGAAGGTTGCTCTCAGAGGCAGCACTAGCACTAGCACTAGCACTGCCACTGCCACTGCCACTGCCACTGTCAATACCACTGTCGCCGTTGCAACTTGTGCCCCTGCCATCACAATTGCTGTTGGTGGTGGTGACATTGCCTCCACAACCACCGCCACTGACAGCTGAGCTGGCCGCTGAATCGCCCTGTTGCTGCCACGTGTACATTAGCTGAGTCAGCGATCCCACGTCACTGAACCTACGGGGTGGGAATGCGGAAGGCGCCTCTTCTCGCGTTGCGCCGAAAAGGAAATCACCCAGGCGACAGCTGCTCGCACCACCACTGCCGCTGCTGCTGCTGCCAATCCAGGACGTTGGAACAGCTGAAACAGTTGCAGCTTTGGAGAAGAAAATCTCCCGAGCCTCACCCGAGCCTGAGGCCCCTCCACTACCCGAACCTGCTCCACGTTCGGATCCCGAACCTGCCCTAGTTTGGACCTCCAAGCCTGCATTACCAGCACCTGAATTGATTGATGCGTGCAAAACAGCACTTTCAACGCCAGAGCTGGTGAAAGACCCGAACATGCTGCCATTCCCCCCACTGGCACCATGACTAGCTCCTGTAGACCAGCGGCGGCTGAAGGAAGGACTGCTGCTGGCAGTGGTTGTGGAAAAAGAGGACGGGAATGGCTGTGTCTGTGGCTGTGGCTGTGGCTGTGGCTGTGTTCCGCCATCCCCAACAACGGAGGTGGTGGAGGAGGAGGAGAGTAGCTGTGGCTGGGCTCGACCCTGTCTGCTCGCAGCAGCCCTCCTCATCTGTGCGCCCTGTCTGTGGTACGCTCCCCACCCCCCTCCTCCCCTTCCACTCTCGTCCCCTCCCGGCCCAAGACAGAATTCACCAGAATGCATCTCACCGGCAACTGCAGGTGCAGCAGCACCAGCAGCAGCGTCGTTGCCAGCAGCACCACCAGCAGCACCACCAGCAGCGCCACCAGCAGCACCAGCAGAAGATTTACCACTACCATCATCTGCAGCAGCAGCAGTTGCAGCAGCGCTAGCCAAACCTCCCCCAGAGGAGCAATCCAGCACCACCTTCCGCACACCCAAGCCTGCACCCAGGCCTTCACCCGGCCGCCTTCTGACCCGCTTACAAGGCGCCTCGTTATCCACCACAAACCCGTCCTCCTGCGCCACCCGCGCTAGAGTGGACGATGCTGCTGCTAGACCTGCTGCTGCCACGGCTGCTGCTCGCGTTGATGGCGATGGCGTGGCTCTAGAAGCAGAGGCAGGAAGAGAGACGTTTGGTGGGGACAGGGAGGGAGTGACAACGGTGGGTGGTGTAGCAGAGGCAGAGGCAGAGGCGGAAAGAGAGGAAGAGGGAGAGGCTTGCGTCAACTGCAGGTCCCCTTCCTCCCCTTTTCCCCCCTCCTTCCCCACCTCACCTCCCCTCTCCATTGCCCCCTCCTCTACCCCCTTATCTCCCCTCTCCTCTCCGCCCCTCTTTCCATCCACTTCCCCTCCCTGTTCCTTCCGAGCTTCTTCCCCCTTCCCCTCCTCCTCTCCACCCACTACCCTCGACCTTTCACGCCCATCAACCTCCTTGGATCCTGCACCGTCGCCTGACTGGCGTGACTCAACTTGATGCCGAACCTGCCATGCAAGGAACGCCGTTAGGGAGGTGAATGCAAGGTAGCAGACGGTAGCACATGGGCAGCACATGGGCAGCACATGGGCAGCACAAGGGCAGCACATGGGTAGCACATGAGTAGCACATGGGTAGCACATGGGCAGCACATGGGCAGCACATGGGTAGCACATGGGCAGCACAAGGGCAGCAGATGGGTAGCACATGAGTAGCACATGGGTAGCACATGGGTAGCACACGGATAGCATGCTGATAGCTCGTCGTACCATAGATGCGATTCTGGCTTTCTCCATCCCTGTCAGCATGAAGCTGGACTTGACATGAACTCGCGCGCCATTGGTCCACATCAGCATCTCATCTCGAAACCGCTTCTCCACTATGGCAGGCACTCTGAGGGCTGCGGGCACAAAATGTTGATGACATGGCAGAATGTGGATGACATGGCAGAATGTGGATGACATGGCAGAATGTGGATGACATGGCAGAATGTGGATGACATGGCAGAATGTGGATGACATGACAGGATAGGGATGACGTGACAGGATAGGGATGACGTGACAGGATGGGGACGACGTGGCAGGATGGGGATGACGTGGCAGGTCTAAAGAATAGCGAGAAATGATGCTTAGACCCAGACTGACGATGTTCCGTTGCAAGTCAAGGAGATAGAGGTGGGATCACATCACACTATGACTCTCAACATCACGAGAATCGACGCATACATGTCTGACTGAGGATGGTTCCTTGTGAGTCGAGGAGTGAGAGGAGCACTGGATCCACCAGGTTCAGCACTGGGCTGCATGCATGGCGGTGAGATGAGCATGCACGAGAGAAGCACACGCATACCATGTGTTCACACGTGCAGCACACATGTGCACCACACACAATCCACATGAATTCACGTGCAGCGCACATACCGCGAGTGAAGAATTGTGCCAGGCAACACAAGGGGATGGGTGGCAGTGGAGCAGAGTGGAGTCAGCACAGAAACTCAACTCATGCTCATTCATTCAGCAATGCTGAACAGTGTTAAACAGGCTGAACTCTAGAGAGCTAATGAAATAAGCAAAAGGAGTAACTTATGGAAAATGGAACAACAAACTCCGTTTGCAGTTGAGCAAAGTGCAACGGAGAGTGCCTGAGCGTGGTGGACTGTAGCAGGGAGTGATGGGGAATGGTGGGGTGCGGTGTAGTGTGGCGTAGTGTGGTGGATGACGGTGGAGGTTGGGCACGTACAAGGAGAACTCTGCATTCAAGGCGGGAAGCAGGAGTGCATCCCCCAGAGTTGCCTTCACCGACGTTTGAGGACCCGTGGAGAAAACATTTGATCCAACCGCGACTGGACAAAGGGGTTAGCAGAGAGATCAGTGCTTGTGTTGGTACAACGTTGTTACATATCTATATGAAGGACTTTTTCGATCTCTCTAACAGTTTCTGGCAGGAAATTCATTGGAAACGGAAGGCAAGGCGATGGCAAGGCAAGGCGATCCATGAAAAGTGGGGGTGAGGGGTTGGGTAAAACAGTGTATGCGGAGATGAGGTTGTTGTGGAGAGACAGATTGATACGAGCGTACTTTGAGAGGTGGATGATTGATAGAGATGCGACCCACCCACCTTGCACGGAGAACTGATCGCCTGCAGAATCCTCCAGCCATGCATGCACCGCCAGAGCCATGGAGACATGCCGATCATGCAGCATGATACGCATCAACCGCAGCCATGCACCATGTGACACATCCCATCACGCATACATCATGCCCGCCATGGCATTCCATGTCATGAATTGCTCCCACCAATACACCAAACATATCACATGCACCACACGCATCCCATGCGTCACATGCCCACGACATGCATCGAGATGCGCTCCGACACAGCCGTGCATGCAACACACACATCAAGGGCACCACCATTTCAGGTCAGCGTTGGAAGGCAAGTTTCTGAGAACCATTGAAAAGCCGTAATGGTAATCGTCAAGAAAAACGGCCGTTGATTGTAGCGGCCTTTCGAACCGTTACCTTGACTCCCTGGCACGTTGACGCATTCCAAAACTGCACAAATGGAATACGAGAAGGACAAGTTAAAAAAATGCGACTGAAGCGAGAGGTTGCCATTCTCGACCATTCTCAACCGCACACAACCTACATTCGCGTATACAACGAGGTTCTCACTCAAAACTTGAACTCCCAGAGAACTCCATGGTTTCAACAACGTACCCTGAACGCAGATTGTTCCCGGCATTGTCGCTCCTACGCCGAACAAGCACTGGTTGCTCTCTGTTTGACAAAGAATCTGCTTTGACAGCGATGAAGCACCTTACGCGACCACGGTCACAGCTGTTTCGCAGTCACGATGCAAGCAGAAGTGGAACTTAGTCTTGCCCTGAGTGCAATTGGAATTGGAATGCGCGTCGTATTCGTCGGAATACTAAGACTTCGCTAAGTTTCTTAGTCGTTTAGGTTCGTTTTCTCGGATCAGCTTGTCTTGACCAGCGCATCGCACGGATAATGCGGAGCGAGGATGAGAGGTTGATGCATGAAAACCAAGCGCACGATCCAAAAAGGACCCTCGATACGAAGTTTGAAGTACGCGCGTCTGTTTCTGTGCTGCACAAGCAATGCCAGCCGTTGTTTTGTGGTTGCAGCAGCCTGAACAGCAGATGCTTTTGATGGTGGATCTGGTTCTGGGCTTCTCATCCTACGTGCCCCTTGCGGCTGCGCCAGAAAGGATCCATTCCATACCATACACGCCGCACTCGAACCCTGCTATATCTGTCTACATCCTACTCAGCCGCGTTTAACCTCGAGACACAACAGTGTTCCTGCCAGCGATCATGCCTGGTCCTCCATCAACTTGCATTGTGTACTGAATCCTCGCCAAAAATGAAGCACTAGAGTTTCCCAGAGCAGAGATGGGGAACAGAGTGCGACAGAACAGACACGGTTTTGTGTAATGGATATGTGATAGGAGGGAAGGGGGAACAGAGGGTTCGGGGGATGTGAAGATGGGTGCAAGAGGGTAGGTCAACATACAAACATCGAGCATGATGAGTGATGGACGGGATGTAAACCGTCCGATACGCTGCTTCAAATCTGTTCTACCGTAGGATGACGAGAATTTGATTTGCATCTCCAATGCATCTTGGGGACCACGTTCCGGATCTTGCGGACCTGCCGGGGCCATCCTGATCGCAACTGTCCCTGAACAGCCTCGCTCCACGTCATTTCTACACCCTTCGCTGCCGCGCTGGCAACCAGATAATCCGACAGCCTGATCGTATGCTGCAGCAGTGAAGGCACTGCCAAGCAGAATGCCTGTAAGAAACCTACACTTCAACCTTGTTAGTTAACAAGCATGTTACAAATTGCATCCCTTGAATCATCGTGACAACCTCTTCTCCCATCTCATTCATGAGCATCAGGGAAACCATCCGTGGGAAGTTTCTTAAATCTAGCAGAGAACTAGCAGCTAAACCTATCCCAGTATCAACCATGTGCCCTCCCTGGAGTGCAGGAAAAGGTGTTGGCGCTGCACCGACGACGCCGCTGCAGCACGCAGCATGCACCACACAGCCATCTGCTCCCACCACCTGTTTTTGCGCCGGAAGCACTAAAACTGCGCGGACGCAACTGTCTACACCCGAGACCCCCCACCCAACCCTGCTGTTTTCAGACCATCAATAACTGCCCTGGCCAGAGCCGTGGCTGCTGCAGCATGCAGCATGCGAGGCAAACCCAGGGCTGGAAGGAAGCTGTAGCAGATAGCCATATCCGGAGAGACAGAGAGAGGTAGTCGTGTGAGCGGATGAGGGCGATGTGATTACAAAGGGAGGGAAACGGGTGGAGAGGGAGGGGAGGGGAGCGAGATTGCTGTGAAAAAAGGGAGGAGGGGAAGTGGAGAGCAGGAGGCGACCCAGAGTTAGTGAGAGGAAGGGAGCAGCGAAGGGGATGAGTTGGCTGTTAGCGAGAACATGGAAAGAGAGAGGATGGGAGGAGCTATCGTACGATGGCAGCAGCAGCAGCAGCATGAGAGGCGCCTGGCATGTCACGGACCCTAAACCCTAAACTCCGACGGTGCGGGAGATGAGTTGTCACGGTGACATGTCATGCCTCCAGAGAGAAGTCACTGCGGCATGGCATGGCATGCCACTGGATGAGTCATCACTGTGGCATGGCACTGGAGATGAGTTACTGTGACATGGCTCCTGCACCTGGTGGCGGGCCCATGGAAGGCATCATAGCCATGGGCATCGGCATGGGCATGCCCATGGGCATGCCAGGCGCTCCCCTCATTGGCCCCATCCCCCCCATCCCCCCCATGCCCCCCATACTCCCCATGCTCCCCATCACTCCCATCCCTCCCATGGCCCCCATGGTTCCCATACCCCCCATGCCCCCCATGTTTCCCATGCCTCCCATTCCTCCCATTCCCCCCATGGCTGTAGCGGGGAGGCCTGGCATGGCTGTAGCAGGGCCGGATGTAGCGGGCAAGCCTGTAGCACCCAGTATGGGTGTAGCAGCAGCTGAGCCTGTTCCTGCTGGCAGGCCGGCTGTAGCGTGGGCGGCTGTAGCGTGGGCGGCTGTAGCGTGGGCGGCTGTAGCGGGGAAGGTTGTAGCGTGGATGGTTGTAGCGGGGAGGCCAGGCGGCATGGAGATGGGGATGAGGGAGGAGGATGGGGAGGGCGAGAGGACTTGGCAGGCGAGGTCTAGGTTAGGCTTGACTGGGAGAGGCGGCATCTGGCTCATTGTACCGGGAACTGAGGTCATCCTGTAACGAGGACAGGCCAAGAGGGCGGGAGGGGAAGGAGGAGAAGTATAAGTTAAGATTGACCAGGGAAGGCTCATTGTACCGGGGACTGAGGTCATCCTGTAACGAGGACAAGCCAAGAGGGCGGGAGGGGAGGGAGAAGATAGGTGTAAGCTAGGATTGACTGGGAGAGGTGGCGTCTTCGTTGTACCGGGAACTGAGGTCATTCTGTATCGAGGACAGGTTAAATGGGTGGAAGCAGAGGAGAGTACGAGGGCATGAGCATGTGTACTCGTGAGCTGTGTTCAGGGAGTTGGGTGAGGGTGGGGGGTAACCGAAGGGTTGAAAGAGCTATGTTCGTAGAGATTAAGCGACAGGTGTGCGGGAATGGGGGGCGTGCTTTTACCCATGAACAGCTGAGAGGATGTTGACTCTCAGCTGGATAAAAGAGAGGTGTGTGCGTGTGGGGTGAAGGAGGGGAGATGACATCCTTAGAGGAAGGAGGGCAGAATAGGACGTGCACTCACCCATGAACAACCGAGAGAATGTTGTCTCTCAGCCGAATCAGGAGGCCGTTGCACTCCTGCGACTGCCAGGGGGAGTGGGAAGGCAGCAGAGGCAGCAGCAGAAGCAGAAGGAGCAAGTTAGCAGCAGAAAAGACAGTGCTCCTACCCAGCAAGAAGTAACACAAGGCAGGTGGAGGGCTGAATGAAGTCCTAAAGGTACGTGAACCACATCACAACAGCGGCCAGCATGGCATGCCCACCTTGTTTGCGGCCAGTGCCGCCTTGACTTGGGAGATGAGGTCCACGTTCTGCTCGAGTAGCTTGTCTGGTGACAGATCCCCTGTGCGAGAGAGGAGAGAGGAGAGGAGAGGAGAGGAGAGGAGAGGAAACGAGAGGAGGGGAGAGGAGAGGAGAGGAGAGGAGAGGAGAGGAGAGGAGAGGAAACGAGAGGAGGGGAGAGGAGAGGAGAGGAAACGAGAGGAGGGGAGAGGAGAGGAGAGGAGAGGAGAGGAAACGAGAGGAGGGGAGAGGAGAGGAGAGGAGAGGAGACGCAACGGGTCGACTTTAGAGGCGCCTCAAAGGGACTTGGGAGATGAGGTCCACGTTCTGCTCGAGTAGCTTGTCGGGTGATAGATCCCGTGAGAGAGAGGAGAGGAGAGGAAAGGCAGCGGTAATCAACGGCGAGAATGGCTGCAGTTCGGAGAGGAGACGAGAGGAGACGAGAGGAGAGGAGAGGAGAGGAGACGAGAGGAGAGGAAAGGAGAGGAAAGGCAGCGTGGATCAACGGCGAGAATAGCTGCAGTTCGGAGAGGAGAGGAGAGGAGAGGAGAGGAGAGGAGAGGAGAGGAAAGGCAGCGGGGATCAATGGCGAGAATGGCTCCAGTTCGGTCTGAATGGCAGTCAGGCAGGCAACGTATAGAATAATCAGAAATAGCAGCCATTGATAAGGCAAGGCATCAGAAATGTGAAGGCGGAGCGGATGGAATCGGCCCAAATGACATGCACCAATCCATGCGGATGCCAGCAGGGTAACGAGAAGCGAGGTTGTTTTTGAGACGTCTCAAAAACAACCTTGCTTCACGTTGAGACGTCTCAAAAACAACCTCGTTGAGACGTCTCAAAAACAACCTCGCTTCACGTTGAGACGTCTCAGGCATCGGAAAATAAAAAGGCATGCACCAAATTCATGGGAAAGGCACACAGAGAGCGGGGTGGAACGAGATGGCTACTTGGTCTGTGTGGAATGGGATGGGAATGGGGGAGACTTTTGAGTCGACTCAAAAGTTGTCTCAAAAAGGCACAGGGAGCGGGTTGCAACGAGGCTACTTCGTTTGCTTGGAATGGAGTGGGAATGGGAGGCGGAGAGACGGAGGGGGGGCAAATGAAGTGGGGTTGGGGAAATGGAGAAGGGGAGGTGGGGGGGGTTTGGAAAATTAAGGGAGGCACAACAGACGTACCAGATAGCAAGCTGCCACTGTTATCAGCACCGTCTGTATGCGTGTCAGCAGCAGCACACCCATCACCGCCACCTCCCCCTGCTGCTGCTGCGCCAGATACACCTGCACCAGATGCGCCTCCCCCTGCCCCTTGCGCCCCAACAACATCCCCAGCACCTGCAGCTTCCACCTTGACCATACCCGCCCCCCCTGCCCTCGCCGCCCCACCTCCTGCAGCGCTTCCGCCTGTTCCCCCTCCCCCGCCTGCCCCTGCTCCTCCCCCTCCTGCTGCTGCGGGTTCCCCTGCTGCTGCTGCCTGCATTCGTTGCTGCTGTTCCTTGTCCTGTGTGGGAACAGCAGCAGGAGGAGAGGAGGGACGTCGGAAATGTGAGGACGTGAAATTGCAGTAGAATGGGGATGGAAGTGGGATGGATGGAAACGAGAGTATAGACAAACAAAGAGAAGCGCAGTTCAGAAGTTGTTTGGAGGCAGAGAGGAGGAACACACAGGCGGAGACAGAGTGAGAGTGAGAGACGCAAAGGCAAAGAGAGGGAGAGAGTAGGAGAGAGGGCGAGAGGAGAGAGAGGGAGAGTAGTGTGCTTGCCTTTTTGTCCTTTTGCTTCTTGGCTGCTGTGATCTCCTCCGCCCTCCGCCTCTTGCCCGCCTCCTTCCTCTGCTCACAGGGCGAGCAATCAGACGATACGGAGGGGACAGAACGAGGGAGGAATGAGACTAAATTTGACACGCCTGAATAGATGCTTTCCGCCTCTGGCCCGCCTCCTTCCTCTGCGCCACAGGGGCGAGAAAGCAGACGACAGGGAGGGGACAGCGGGATGCAGGATGCACGAGACACGGGGTATTGGACAGGGAAAGAGCTTACTCTTAAGTCAACTCGCAATCAGACAATACGGAGGGGACAGCGGGATGCACGAGACACGGGGTATTGGACCAGGAAAGAGCGAGAGAGGGAGAGTGGGAGAGAGAGAGGGTGCGACGGAAGGTGATATCTGGTGCAGTGATGCTGCAACGACAAGGTGATATCACCTCCCCCAGGTGTGGCCTTTGAAGAAGGCACCTCAAAAGTCATCGCTTCAGATATCACCTTCCCCAGGTGCGGCCATCCCTAGCAGGTATCACCTCCCCCAAGTGCAGCCTCGCTCATCTGCAGCCATTTGCAGCGCAGAGCCACGTCCCAGGCGGTCTTCTCGTGATACAAGTGAACATTTAGCAGATATCACCTTCCCCAGGTGCGGCCTTCCCTAGCAGATATCACCTCCCCCGGGTGCTGCCTGGCTCACCTGCAGCCATTTGCAGCGCAGAGCCACGTCACGGGCGGTCTTCTCCGGCAGGCTCGCCGCGATCTTGAGGTAGCGCTGGGCGGGGGTGAACAGATCCGCGGGGAACCTGGGGGGAGTGGGGAGGGCGGAGGGGGGAGGGAGGGGGTGGAAGGGGGGAAGGGAATAGGAAATTATTGCCTGGAGATTTGAGGCGTATCAAATCTTCTCCGGCAGAGACGTCGCAATCTTGAGGTAGCGCTGAGCAGGGGTGAACTGATCCGCGGGGAACCTGGTGAGGGTCGCGGGTGGGGGGATGGGGGGTTGGGGGGTGTCTGGGAGAGGGTGGGAGGGAGGATGGGAGATCATGTCCTGGAGAGCTGCGATCTTGAGGTAACGCTGGGCGGGGGTGAACTGATCCGCGGGGACGGGAGGGAAGCGGATTGGATGGATGCACGAGCGCCTGTGTGGGAGTCAGTCAACGGATTCAAACGAAAAAAAAAAAAACAAGCATGGCTCTGCGCATGCACACGGTTTCTTTCCCCTCTGGATGGCGGGGGGGACCTGGACGGGAGGGAATCGGGACGGATGGGTGTACGGGCATTTGGGTGGGGATTAACGGGTTACAACGGCAAAGCCATGCTTCGACGAATGCACTCCACACGGTATCTTCCCCTGTAACTGAACGGCAATTTACTAGATGTCGCTCCAAGGCGGGTCAGTCGTCCACTCTCTCTCTCTCACTACATTCGCGCGTCGCCAAGGAGACGGTAAATCCAACGGTCAATGCGACCGACCCTCGCTTGCAACACTGCACGTAAGCTGCGCACCAACGGACCAAGAACCGAGCACAGGCGGGGTTTAAGGTTCTAGATGACCACTACGTTCATGAGGGGGAGTCATTGCTGAACGACGCCGGGGACATTCATCTAGCGGTTCATCGAGCGGTCTTCTTGTCCAAACGTACGCGTTCGCAACGACATTGTCCGACCTGTTCTCACGATACCTATCTCGAACGACGGGGGATCAGGTGCGACGAAAAGCGCGGGTGGCGAATCGGTCGATAGCGGTTCGAGGCAACTCGCCTCAGCCTCTAATATCAGCGTCAGGTGAAGGCAACGACGCGAGAACTCTGCGACTCGCCTCAGCCACTAATGACGCGATAACTCTGCGACTACACGGTCGTGCAACGTCGCACCCTTGAACGAGCCAACCGAACCCTTCAGCGACTTTCCGAACGCTAACCCGTTCAGGTGTAGCAGTATAATCGCGTCCTCCTCTACGTTTCCCTCGTAATCTTTCTCTATCATGAAAAACATCAGTCAATCAGAGCCCCACCTTGCGAGCCCTTGATCCAGCAGCCGTTGCTCCTCAGCCGTCCATGCTTCCGACAAGTACGGGAAGTGCAGCAGCTGAAGCTGCACGTGCAGCGGCGGAGGAGACGGCGGCGCGGGAAGTGCCAGCGGCGGCGGCGGCGGCGGCGATGGCGTCGCCGCCCGCGCCGGTGCCGCCGTTGCAGCAGCGGCGGCTGCTGCTGCTGACGGCGATCTTTGAGGCGCTTCGGAAAAGGAAGCGACAGAAGGCGAGTCTCGAGGCGCCTCAGAGCATGCGGCGGCGGACGGCGCGGGTGGTGCGCTTGCGGCGTCCGGCGAAGCTGCAGCGGCGCTGGCACTGGCACAAGCGGCGGCAGCGGCAGCAACGGCGGCTGAGATGGCGGCGGGGGAAGCTTGCGCCTTGCCCGATGCAGGCTGCGGTTTGGCGGAAGCAGGTTGAACTTTGGCGGAAAGAGGCTGCGCTTTGGCGGAAGCAGGTTGCGGCTTCGCGGAAGAAAGCTGCGCTTTAGCCGATGAGGAGGGGGTGGCGGCGGGGAGCTTGGGTCGGGGAGCGGGAGGAGCGGGAGGAGCGGCGGCCGCTTGCATGTAGCCGTTGGAGGAAGGCGCTTCTCCATTGGCCATCGACGAGCCTCCATCAACACGAGCCTCGCCGCGGCGACGAGCTTTCGCGAACCGCGATCATTCGCGAAATGCGATTGTTTACGAAGAGCAATTATTCACGTGTTTCAGATCAGGAAATGAGCTAAATAATGTTGGACGAGAAAGTCAACTATATTAGACGAAATTATTGCGAAAATAATGTAGAGAAATATGTAGTTAGTTGGAGCGTCACATCTAGAATGCCGAACATGGAGCTGAAGCCGGAGCGCACAAACTAGTTCGAGCTACCTCTACATTGAAATGTCCGGTGGGCTATAGACTATAACCTCATTCGTCGTACATAGGGCATGTGCTAGTAATCGGTTTGGTTCGGACGTGTCGGGAGTCCACCCAACCGAACCACGAGGTTCACGTGGCAGAAGCCCAGGAAGCACGACACGCACACGACATGCTCATGCCATTTCTCTCGGGTGATGGGGGTTTGAGCTTCTCTTCCATTTCTCATCTCAATCGTCGCTTTGGGAACCCTAGCAGTAGCAGACAGCACAGCACAGCAGGAAGCAGGAAGCCTTGCTGCTGTGATGTTGGTCGTCCCTGCAAGCCTCGGGATTCGGGAGTGATGAGGTCAGGCCCTGGGCTGGGAAAAAGGCCGAGGGAGGGTGTTTTGCAGAACCCAAGTTCGAAGTGAGACGGAGGGAGAACTCGAGTGAGAACTCGAGGAGGGAAAAGCTCACTCAAGTCCCCAAAACACTTGGAGCCCTTTAGCCTTGGAGTTGTCGAGTCGAGTCAAACAGAGCTTATCAAAACGTTTTCTGGTGTTCCCAGAGGTCAGGAGAAGCCGAAAGTTTCACCGCAGCAACTGTGCTAGGAGAACCCTACGACGTGTATTTTGGTGATTCGTTGAACAACTCCAAGCAAACGTCTCCAAGTGTGACGAGGGAGCCATGGTGCCCATCCATCCAGTTTTGAGAGAGGAATGCACCCAAAAGTGGAACGGTTTTGACGAAGGTACATTGGTTGTGATGACAATGACAATGACTCCTTCCCACTAGGTTCTCTCCAATTGAGTCGGAAGTTCTGGGCGGATCTTTAGAATTCACACGATGTAAGTACACTTATTTCAAGTACAATGAAAAACAATGGGCTACTTTTGATTGAAAATGTACAGTCCGAACCTCTCACGAATTCGAAGCTGCCTCCAAACCTGGTGACCGTACCAGAAGCCAAAGGGCAAGTGTTTCCTGGTTCGGAAAAAGCGGGAGATTCAAGAAAAGTGAAAGTAAAAATCTGACGTGGAATTGACGTGGCTGCACCTGCCATCCGCAAACGGCGCCCACGCCGCCATAACCATCATCGTGGCGTTTGACTCCAGCAAGAGCGGCCTCTAGAATTTTCACAAAGAACGCAATAATACTTGTGAATATACGCAAAACCAGAGACAGGAAATATTGTTTTAAAATAAAATTATGAATAAAATGAAATATAATATTTTTAAGAGCTTATATGAGTTTAATATGTGTATTTTATAAAATATTAGTGTCGTAAATTCTGTGCGCTCCATAGGTTCAGAATATATGTACTAGCACTGCTATGACTATTATAATCTCGTAGCATTTTTAACAGAGCGTATGGCCGATGTCAGAAAACCGGCGCGTTCGCTAGGTGCTGCGGCACGGATTTGGTACTGTTCTCCTTTGTTTTCTTTTCCTCCAAGGTGATGCGTATCTCCTCCCTACTCAGCAGATGAAGGTAAGGAGAGAGACAGTACTGATCAGTAATAACAGATTTTTATTGGGAACCTCGGGCAAGCGGGCAGATCTTCACAGACGAGTGCACGATTCTTAAACTAGCAGTTGAGTTCACTCACAATGCGGCATATAGACTTGTCAGATGGTAGAGTTGACGAGCAAGAGCCGCTAAGATCAGTCTACTAGGGAGCCCTTTTACAACTTTGCGGCATTGCAGCAGTCTTCGTAACGACTCGCGCGTGCAGCTAAGTTATTCGAAACTAGTTCGACGTGTGCACTTGATTCGGCGCAAGGTCACTTCAGTATTGAGGCGACAGCGTAACGTAACAGTGATAAATTTGACCTCGTTACACACAGAAAGAACATCCGTAATCAGCCAATCGCCATGCCGCTAACTGCAGCAGAGCGTGTGGCGAAAGTGGTGAACTGGCAGCAGGTGGCGATCGGGTCAGCAGTCCTGATCGCCACCGTTATAATCACAAGCCAATGCTGTAAGCCCCGACACCCGCGTCGCTCTTCTCTCCTCCCAGATTCCCTCCCATCTTTTGAAGAACCGATTTTTGAGCCGACAAAAAAAAAATCGTTTTTCTTTTCTCCCACATCCACTCCTACCTTGAAAACGTCAGCACACCCAGAGTCAACTTGGGGAGCAACCCATTACTAATCTCCTTGGATAAATTTGGTTTCTATGACGAAGCAATAGCGTTCGCATACCACATTCAGTCTCATCGCGTGTACTCCTAAGCTTCCCATCTTGTCCCTTTGTAAAACTCATATCGAGGATGCACTGTGCAGACACGGCTTCTTGGAATGACAGTTCGAGCCGAGCAACTGAAGACTGCACTATCACCGCCAATGACCAGCAAGGCTCCAAAAAACCCTCGAGATTTCACATTCAGGACTACGGCCTCCAGGGCCCCATCCCCTGGACGTACATCCGACCGTCCGTCCGCGATGCCTTCACAGTCAACGGCTCGATCCAGACCGTTGAAGCTTTCCGCGGGACGGATCTGGACGACTCCGGAGCGACGGAGGTGGTTTGGACGACCGAAATGATCAACCAAAAACGGCGACAGGCGGAAAAGAGGTCTCTGAGAGTTTCTAGTTATGGCAAAAAGGCTACCCAAAGTTTTTACCAGGCGTTGAATGCGCACCCAGTGAAAGGAAAATCGGTGCTGGTGGTGGGAAGTCAATTGCCTTGGCTTGAGGCGATTCTCTTGGTGTATAAAGCTGGGTCGATCACGACCGTTGATTTCAACAAACCGGTAGCAGATTATCCCGGATTGAGGCTGTGGAATATTGCTGAGCTGGATGCCTCAGATGAGACCTTTGACGTGGTAGCTTCTTATTCGTCGCTGGAGCACGATGGTCTGGGGAGATATGGCGATCCGCTAAACCCGGATGGGGATATGCAGAGAATGGCAAAGGTAATTTTGCTGTTGTGGTTGATGCTGTGGGCTGGGTGCGGTTTCCATGGTATGGCATCTGCAGAATGGGGATCTGCAGAGAATGGCGAAGGTAATTTTGCTGAGGTGGTTGGTACTGAGGGGTGCGGCTTCCGTGGTATGGTATGGGTTGCCTAACTATGCTTCCGACGTGTTGGCTCCCTCCCTGCTAAAAGTTACTGGTGCGTCCCTGTCCTTACCATGCTTTGTTACCCCCATCAAGCTTGTTACCCCTATCAATCCTGTTACCCCCATCAATCCTGCCATCTCCCCTCACATCATTCTATGTCTTACCTTTTGCCGCGATTTCCTCTATCATCTCCTCCTCTTCTGCCATCTCCTCCGCTTCTGCCATCTCCTCCTCTTCTGCCATCTCCTCCACTTCTACCATCTCCTCCGCTTCTTCCATCTTCTCCGCTTCTGCCATCTCCTCCTCTTCTGCCATCTCCTCCTCTTCTGCCATCTTAGCCACCTCAAGAACTTTCATTGCTTCCTGCCATCCCTCCCGGACCTTATGCTCCCAAAGCTCATATCCATGTGATGTCATTTGCCATTTTGCCATGTCATTTGCCATGTCATTTGCCATGTCCTCTTACATCTCTACCGCTTGCAGCTGTGCAGAACAAGGGCCTTCCAAATCCTCAAGGACGCTTCTTCCTGGGTGTCCCAGTGGGCAACGGCTTCTTCACTACTTGACGCACGCACCATCTTCTCACATCTCTTCCTTTCCCATTCACATCTTCTCACACCTCCCCCATTCCCTCGCATCCCCTCTTGTGGCTGTGCAGATCAGGGGCCTGTTGAAGCCAGGAGGGCTTTTCTTCCTGGGGGTGCCAGTGGGCAACGACACGCTGGTGTTCAATGCGCATCGCGTGTACGGTCCCATCCGCATGCCGCTCCTGCTTAAGGGATGGGAGCTGCTGGACGTGTTTGGGGTGTCCAGCCTCGAAGCCACCTACAGGGAGAACCTGGATAAGGCCAACATACAGCCGGTCATGTTGTTGACTTATACTTCTTAGGACGCGTCGCATTTGTCACTGTATAGTAAGGATCAATGTGCAGGGTGTACACTGTACAGTAACTTTGCCAATTCGGGAATGGCTATGTATCCTTGTTTCACCTTCTTTAATTAAAAGTATCCGATCCGAACTACTCGTCACGAGCGTGTCCCCTCCAATTGCCGAGATAGGAGGGCTTCAAAAGTCACATCGATTGTGCGACTGGAGGTGCGGAAAACGAAATCGCGGCACCACCACAGCAGCAGTCTAGTCGATAAGTTGGTAGAAGTCTGCTTTATCCCTCTCACTCTTAGGTACAGCCTTGTCATAGGTTTGCAGAAGTGCACGGTTGGTGGTGGTTCAGTCAGGTTCAGAGCGCCTGCTGCACCTATTGATCGGCAGCAGTCTTGTCCATGAGCTGGTAGAGGTCTGCTCTTCGCTGTACCTTGATGGGCATGTTTTGCCTGCCATGGAAATGGGAGTCACATGCACGTGGATGGATGCACATGCGCATGGATGGAAACACATGCACATGGTTGGATACACATGCACATGGGGATGGAAATGTATGCATCTGGAGATGATTACACATGCACGCGGATATGGTTAAACGAGCACATGCAGATGGATGCAGATGGATATACATACAACGCCATTCCATTCTCTGCCATGCCATGTTCATGCCATGAATACACTTCCATGCCACTTGCACCAAGCCATGTTATACCACCCATGCCGATTTCACCGCGCCATGCCATACCACACCACTTGCACCACGCCATACCATGCCACGTCATGCCATAGCATGAAGAGCTCCCCTGTGTTCATCGCACCTGCGAATGTCAATCTGAGTCAGGTCCACCTCCCCCACCACCAGTGCCTCCTCATGCTCCGTTGTTGCCACTATCTCCCCAAACTGGTGGCAAGCATGGGTGGCAGAGGGCAGAGAGGGGTTAGCAAGGCAAGACAAGCACACGAATTTGGCATGGTTCCACCTTGCCTCTCCCACCACCAGTGCCTCCTCATGCTCTGTCGTTGCCACTATCTCCCCAAACTGACAACGGGCATGGCAGGCAGAGGGCAAAGTGGGTTGGGGGAGATGGCATGGGTGGCAGAGAGCAGAGAGGGGTTACTGGGGCGAGACAAGCACACGAAATCGGCAAAGTTCCACCTCTTCCCCCCCCCCCACCGCCTCCTCATGCTCCGTTCTTGCCATGCTCGGTCGTTGGGCGGAGAGGGGTGGGTGATAATGGGATGGCATGGGGGCAAGGGGCAGAGAGGGGTGGGTGAAAGCACATGCATATGAGAGGGGTGGTCGGGTGGATTACTGCATGGCAAGGCATCGTGCTTTCACTACATATGAGAGGCGAGACAAGCACAAGAATGTGAATGAGAGGCGAGACAAGCACAAGAATGTGAATGAGAGGCGAGACAAGCACAAGAATGTGAATGAGAGGCGAGACAAGCACAAGAATGTGAATGAGAGGCGAGACAAGCACAAGAATGTGCACCAGAGCCAGTACGATCCCATGTCCTCCCTCATGTCATGTCATGCCAAGCAATGGCACCCACCCAGCAATCAAGCCGAAGAGGACACCAGTTAGGTGCCATTGGGTAGAAGATTCTTGTGTAAAACTTCGGTGGTACGATGCCATGTCCTCCCTCATGTCATGTCATGCCAAGCAATGGCACCCACCCAGCAACCAAGCCGAAGAGGACACCAGTTAGGTGCCATTGGGTAGAAGATTCTTGTGTAAAACTTCGGTGGTACGATGCCATGTCCTCCCTCATGTCATGTCATGCCAAGCAATGGCACCCACCCAGCAACCAAGCCGAAGAGGAAACCAGTTAGGTGCCATTGGGTAGAAGATTCTTGTGTAAAACTTCGGTGGTACGATGCCATGTCCTCCCTCATGTCATGTCATGCCAAGCAATGGCACCCACCCAGCAACCAAGCCGAAGAGGACACCAGTTAGGTGCCATTGGGTAGAAGATTCTTGTGTAAAACTTCGGTGGTACGATGCCATGTCCTCCCTCATGTCATGTCATGCCAAGCAATGGCACCCACCCAGCAACCAAGCCGAAGAGGACACCAGTTAGGTGCCTTTGGGTAGAAGATTCTTGTGTAAAACTTCGGTGGTACGATGCCATGTCCTCCCTCATGTCATGTCATGCCAAGCAATGGCACCCACCCAGCAACCAAGCCGAAGAGGACACCAGTTAGGTGCCATTGGGTAGAAGATTCTTGTGTAAAACTTCGGTGGTGCGATGCCATGTCCTCCCTCATGTCATGTCATGCCAAGCAATGGCACCCACCCAGCAACCAAGCCGAAGAGGACACCAGTTAGGTGCCATTGGGTAGAAGATTCTTGTGTAAAACTTCGGTGGTACGATGCCATGTCCTCCCTCATGTCATGTCATGCCAAGCAATGGCACCCACCCAGCAACCAAGCCGAAGAGGACACCAGTTAGGTGCCATTGGGTAGAAGATTCTTGTGTAAAACTTCGGTGGTACGATGCCATGTCCTCCCTCATGTCATGTCATGCCAAGCAATGGCACCCACCCAGCAACCAAGCCGAAGAGGACACCAGTTAGGTGCCATTGGGTAGAAGATTCTTGTGTAAAACTTCGGTGGTACGATGCCATGTCCTCCCTCATGTCATGTCATGCCAAGCAATGGCACCCACCCAGCAACCAAGCCGAAGAGGACACCAGTTAGGTGCCATTGGGTAGAAGATTCTTGTGTAAAACTTCGGTGGTACGATGCCATGTCCTCCCTCATGTCATGTCATGCCAAGCAATGGCACCCACCCAGCAACCAAGCCGAAGAGGACACCAGTTAGGTGCCATTGGGTAGAAGATTCTTGTGTAAAACTTCGGTGGTACGATGCCATGTCCTCCCTCATGTCATGTCATGCCAAGCAATGGCACCCACCCAGCAACCAAGCCGAAGAGGACACCAGTTAGGTGCCATTGGGTAGAAGATTCTTGTGTAAAACTTCGGTGGTACGATGCCATGTCCTCCCTCATGTCATGTCATGCCAAGCAATGGCACCCACCCAGCAACCAAGCCGAAGAGGACACCAGTTAGGTGCCATTGGGTAGAAGATTCTTGTGTAAAACTTCGGTGGTACGATGCCATGTCCTCCCTCATGTCATGTCATGCCAAGCAATGGCACCCACCCAGCAACCAAGCCGAAGAGGACACCAGTTAGGTGCCATTGGGTAGAAGATTCTTGTGTAAAACTTCGGTGGTGCGATGCCATGTCCTCCCTCATGTCATGTCATGTCATGTCATGCCAAGCAATGACACCCAAAGCCCCCTCTTCCCCTCCCTGCCCCTGCCCCTTCCCCTGTCACTCACCGGCCCAACCAGGGTGGAGTGACCCCAGGCTCGGTACGATGCTGAGTCATCCCGGGCAGGTGAACACGTGACAACAAACAACTGGGCAGCAGGAAGGGCAGGAGGGAAGGAAAGACGGGGTGGGGAGGGGGAACGGATGAGGGGGAGGGCAGGGGAGGGGAGAGGGGAGGAAGGGGGAATGTGGGTGAGTGGGGTAAGCCTGTGTGTGACAAACAGTGTGTTTATAAGCCACTCTACACACGGGATTTTGCCAGAACTCGTAGTATAAGAACGGGAATGAGGACGCAGAAGGAAAAGAGAAAACAAAAGAAAGAAAGAAAGAAAGAAAGAAAGAAAGAAAGAAAGAAAGAAAGAAAGAAAGAAAGAAAGAAAGAAAGAAAGAAAGAAAGAGATTCTTAGCAGTGAAACTATCGAACCCACCTGATTGTCCACTGCCCTGTTGGTGCAATGCAGAGCACAGCACCCATTGGCATGTCGAACCCCCGTGGCAGCGGCAGCCATAGCAGAGGCAGCAGCAGCAGCAGCCATGACAGCGGCAGCCGTGACAGCGGCAGCAGTGGCATCAGCGTGGTAATGGTGCCAGAGGCAGGAAGGGGAGGGGTGAAAACGGGTGAGAGAAGAGCCGGAGGGAAGGGGGAGTAGTGCAGCGGGCGGGAGGGGGAGGGGGGAAGGGGGAGATGAGAGCGATGAAGCCATGGTGACAGGAGGGGAGGGGAGGGGGGTGAAGCCGTGGTGGCATGATCCCTAACTGGCTTGCTGAAGCAGCTGCTAGTGCAGCAATAGTCCCATGTCATGTTGAGCGGTCCAAGCCTCCATCCCAAATGTATAGACTCAACCTCTACATCTATGAGCCCCACCCATCCACCCACCCACCCGCCCGCCCGCTCGCCCGCCGGTCGCCCGCCCGCCCGCCCGCCCGCCCGCCCGCCCACCCGCCCACCCACTCACCTGGCTTGCTGCAGCAGCTGCCAGTGCAAGGGTCCTGTGGTCATGTTGAGCGCACTTCAAGCTACCACCCCAGATGTCTAGTGTTCACTCATCCTCTACATCCTAAGACCCACCCGCCCGCCCACCAATCGCTCCCCACCTGGCCTGCTGCAGCAGCTGCCAGTGCAAGGGTCCCGTGGTCATGTTGAAAGCACCCGGGTAGCAGATGAGCTGCGCGCCTGATGTGGGAAGTACGTATGGAATGGCGGGGGAAGGGAAAGTGTGGAAACAGAACGTAGTCATGTTGAAGGCACCTGGGTAGCAGATGAGGTGACTTTTGAGTCGACTCAAAAGTCACCTCGAAAGTGTGGAAAACGGAATGTAGTCCTGTTGAAAGCACCTGGGTAGCAGATGAGGTGTGCGCCTGAGAGGAGAAGGGAGGAGGGAAGCCCAGGGGGTAGCACAAAGAAATCGAAGGGGTTGAAGTGAGAAGGGGTTGAAGTGAGAAGGTAGCTAAGCAGCGCCCTTCAGGGCATGGCAGCTAAGCAGCGCCCATCAGGGCATGGCAATGACAACACGAACAACAACATACCTCGAGTGGCATAGAGCATTGCGAGCTCAGGGAAGCGGATGTCATAGCATATGCCCACTGCCACTCGTGCCACGTCTGAAGGATGGGAGAGAGGAGTGGAGTAGGGCGGAGAAGAGAAGGGGAGGGCGGAGGGAAGTGGATGTCATAGGATTGTCTGTGGGAGGGAGGAAGAGAGGAGGGGAGAGTACGGGAGCAGAGGAGGGGCGAAGAGGAGGGGAGAGTGCTGCAGGCAGGGTGGGAAGGAAGGGCGGAGGGGAAGCGGGTGTCGTAGCAATGTTTTCACCGCCACTCATGCCACGTCTGGAGGAGAGAGAGGGGAACAGAGGAGGGAGCTGGGGAGGGAACAGCGGCATAGAGCATTGCGAGCTAAGGGAAGAGCGGAAGGGGGGGCGGAAGGGAAGGGAAGGGCAGAGGGGAACGGACTGTTATAGCCACTGAATTCCCCATTGCCACTTTAGCTATGTCTGCAGAGTCAATTCAGAGAATTATCTAAGGGAGGGATGGGGAGCAGTGAAGGATGAGACTTGCCCGCAAGTGGTGGTGGGAACTTTGATTGCATCTGCCCACCACCACTTGCGTGCAGGGGGTGCTTGAATGTGTGGGCAAAAGCATGAGCAGATTGCCATCCAAGTCATGAATGAGCAGATTGCCATCCAAGTCATGAATGAGCAGATTGCCATCCAAGTCATGAATGAGCAGATTGTCATACAAGTCATGAAACAAAGGAGGGGGAATATGGGACCGAATCGAACGAATCAAAGAAGAATTGGAGACTGAAGGAGGGAAGGGACACGTGTGGTGGATGGGATGTGAATATTAAACAGAACGGAATGGAGCGGAATGGAACGGAATGGAACAGGCATTCTTGCACACACAACACAAAAAGGCAGCAGCACATGACTTGAGCAAAAAACAACTTGATGAGAAATCTATTCTGAGGAGTCTCAACACATTTTTTTTTACACTTTCACACACACCATGGAAGACAGCAACAAATCACTTGAGAAAAAACACCTGCTACTAAAGCAATGCATGCATTGACTATATAAACACACAAGGGCAGCCCACCTGTGTCAACGACCAATGGCTGATCGCCACATGTGAGTGTGTCAGACTCCTTGAATGTGATCTTCCCTGGGATGTCAATGTCAAAGAGATGTAGCTGACAACGGGGGAGAGGGGTAAGGGGACAAGAGGGGAAGGGAACCGGGTGCAGCTGAGAGGGGAAGGAAACGGGGAGCGAGGGGATGTCAATGTCAAAGAGATGTAGCTGACAGAGGAATGGGTAAGGGGACAAGAGGGGAAGAAAGGGGGGTGAGAGGGGATGTCATGACGCACAGGTGCAGCTGACAAGGGGGGGAGGTAAGGGGACAAGAGGGGAAGGAAACGGGAAACGATGGGATGTCAATGTCAAACAGATGCAGCTGATGGGGGGACAGGGAGGACGGTGATGGGGGCAGGTAAGGGGACAAGGGGGGAAGGGAACGCGGTGAAAGGAGATGTCTATGTCAAACAGGTGCAGCTGATGGGGGGGCAGGGAGGACGGTGAGGGGGAGGGGACACAGGGGGAGGGGAACATAGAGGGGGAGGAAAGGGGAGAGGGGAGGGGGAAGGGTAGGGGGAACAGGAAGTGGGTGTGAGCGTGTGAGACTCTTTTGACATGATCTTCCCCGGGATGTCAGTGTCAAGCAGATGAAGCTGACAAAGGCGGTGGGTAAGGTGACAAGAGGGGAAGAAAGGGCGGTGAGAGGGGATGTCATGTCGAACAGGTGTAGCTGATGGGGGTACAGGGAGGACGGTGAGGGGGAGGGGGGATCGGGGGGGAAGAAGACGGGGGAAGACAGATGTGATCTTCCCCGGGATGTCAGTTTTTGAGGCGCCTCAAAAGTCGTTCCCTGGGATGTCAATGTCAGGGAGGACGGTGAGGGGGAGAGGGCACAGGGGGGCGGAGGGGGGAGGGCAACATGGGGGGGTTGAGTGTGTGAGACTCCCCGGATGTCAATGCCAAACAGGTGCAGCTGATGGGGGGGCAGGGAGGACGGTGAGGGGGAGGGGACAGGGAGATGGGGGAGGGGGTAAAAAGGGGGGTTTGGTGGGGGAGGGAATGGGAAGGGCGGGTGGGTGAGGGACAGCTTTTGGGAATGCTCAAAGGCGGGTGGGTGGGTAAGAGGGACAAGAGGAGAAAGTGCTGATGAGAAGTGTCAGAAACATATGCAGGTGAGGGACAGGGGGAAAGGGGAGGGCCAGGATGGCACCGTGATTCTCCCTGAGACGCCAAACAGATCCAGTTGACAGGGAGATCCAGTTGACAGGGAGATCCAGTTGACAGGGAGATCCAGTTGACAGGGGGAACAGAACAGGGGGAACAGAACAGGGGGAACAGAACAGGGGGAACAGAACAGGGGGAACAGAACAGGGGGAACAGAACAGGGGGAACAGAACAGGGGGAACAGAACAGGGGGAACAGAACAGGGGGAACAGAACAGGGGGAACAGAACAGGGGGAACAGCACAGGGGGAACAGAACAGGGGGAACAGAACAGGGGGAACAGAACAGGGGGAACAGCACAGGGGGAACAGAACAGGGGGAACAGAACAGGGGGAACAGAACAGGGGCGCTGGGGAGGGGAGGATAGGCAGAGAGGAGGGAATAGTCACCCTTGCAAGAATGTTCAAAAGCAAGAATGTTCAAAAGCAAGAATGTTCAAAAGCAAGAATGTTCAAACATGACCCCACCATACTCAACCGCCCTCTACATTCCTCACCTTTTTTCCTTCTCCCTCCCCCCAACTCCTTTCCCCTTCCTCTCTCCACAGTCACACCTCTCCACAGTCACATCTCCCTCACCTTGCTGAACCGACCCTTCAACTCCCCCTTGCTGCCAAACACAAGGCACGTGTTGTACAGCCGCCCCTCCCTCCTCTCGGGAATGGAACCCCCCACTATAGTCACGCCGTGCCGCCCCGCCACGTCAGCGAGCATCGCAGCGGAGGGTGAGGAGGCAAAGGAATCTTCCAGGGAAATCTCCTCCGCGTAGGTGGGGAAATTGTCGTTGGAATAAGGGCAGTTCCACATTTCCTGGAAATGAGGGAGAGACGAGGGGGAGGGGGGTAGGTGGGGAAGGGGGCAGGCGGGGAGGGGGGAGGGAAAGGAGCAAGGGGGACGGAAGAGAGGGTGGAAGGAAGGTGGGAGGGATGAAAATTAGAATTGAGAAGGAGGAGAAAGGGAGAACGGGGGGAATGGGAGGGAAATGGGGGTATGGGAGGGTAGGAGGGGCAACGAAGGGAGATAAGGTAGAACTAGGGGAAATGAGGGGGAATACGGGGTTATGGGGTGGAGTAAGTGAATGGGGGAGAATAAAGGGGACTGATAAGAAGTAAAGGGAAATGGGAGGGAACGGAATCGATTACTAAAAAAACACTCACGCACCAATACAATCCCACATGTAACACACTCACACATCAACACACTCCCACACTACACAAATCACTCAACCCCTGCCACCATGCCACCATGCCACCATGCTGCCATGTCACCATGCCACCATGCCGCCATGTCACCATGCCACCATCCCCCCACTCTCCATCCCCTCTCCCCTTCACTCTACCTTTCTTTCCCCCCCCCCTCTCTCTGCCCCCACTCCACCCATACCAGCAGCAGCACAAGCTTTACAGCCAATCATGCCATGCACCCTCTCCTCTCTCCTTCCCCGTCCCCAATCCCTCCCTCCCAATCTCCTCCCCGCTGTCTCCCCCCCCTCTCCACCCATACCGGCAGCAGCACAAGCTGTACAGCCAATCATGCCACGCGCCCTGTCGCTCCCTTTCCCCGTCCCCGCTCTCCCCCACCCTTCCCCTCTCTCCACCCCCCCTGCACCCATACAACCAGCAGCACCAACTTACCACCCTAGTCCACAGCACAGACAACTATATGACCCACTCCCCCCATCCTACCACTCTCAGTCCGCCTACCCCTCTCTCCCCATGCGCCTCCACCCATGCAACCAGCAGCACGAACTTACCACCCTAGTCCACAGCACAGACAACCGTATCGCCCATTCCTTCTCCTCTCTGCTGGCCATCCCCCTCATTCCCCCCCCCCATCTCCCCCTCATCCTCCCCCCCCATCCCGCCCCCATCCCCCCCATCCCGCCCCCATCCCCCCCCTTTCCCCCCATACCGGCAGCAGCACGAGCCTAGCGCCCTGGTCCGCAGCGCGGCCAATCACGTCCCTCGCATGCTCGATGTTGCGCGCCTTGTCAGCACCCACCGCCAGCTGGCACAGCGCGATCTTGAACTGCCAGGGAGGGGTGGGTGGGTGGGAAGGTGGAGGAGGGAGGGAAACATCAGTGCGTTCCAGGTGTCACCACCCACCCACTGCCAGCTGGCACAGCGCGATCGTGAACTGCGAATGGCAACGGGTGGGTGGGGGAGGGGCGGGCGAGCGGGTAGGTGGGTGGAAGAGGGGGAGAGCATCTGTGGGCTTCAGTTGTCAGCACAGCACACCCACCCACTGCTTTTGAGTCGACTCAAAAGGGATCGGGGAGGGGCGGGCGAGCGGGTCGGTGGGTGGAAGAGGGGGAGCATCTGTGGGGCTTCAGTTGTCAGCACAGCACACCCACTGCCAGCTGGCACAGCGCGATGCGTTGTTGAAGTGTGCAATGAGCAGGGTGGGTTCAGCGGAGAAGGCAGGCAGGACGGAGGGGCTGCTTGCTTACAGCACGGCACGGCACGGCACGGCACGGCACTGCACAGCACGGCACGGCACGGCACGGCACGGCACGGCACGGCACGGCACGGCACGGCACAGCATGGCACCACGACCCGCAGAATGTATCCACACTGCATTGAGGAGCGTGACCCTCGCTTTGAGGTGATCCCATCTGCGGGATTCAACGAGATCCAATGAAATCCTATGGGATTCAACAAGATTCAATGGGAACCAGTGGGATTCTATGGGAACCAATGGGATCCAGTGAGATCCAGTGGGAACCAGTAGGATCCGCGAGGTGATTTGAGGTGATCTAATGAAGGGAGAGACGATCTCGAGGCGTGAATCGGACGGTTCCAACTCCTTGATAACGAGTGAAGCACCTCGGTATAATCTGATTCGTTTATTCGAAATCTCAAAAGCCACTGGTAGGCACTTGAGAGGTCCGTTCTCGAGGCGCTTGATAGAATACAAGCCACACACTTATCGGCGATTAATCGATTTATAGAATACAACGAGTGATAAGCGATTCAGTTCCTCACTTTGCCGGGAGTGTCGCCAGCAGTCGCATCGGTCGCAGTCGCATTTATCGCAGTCGCCATCGCTCGGACGGGAAGGAGTCGCCTGCGCGGACGCGTGGGAGCGGCGACGGCTTGAGCGGGGAGGGCGGGGAATGCGACGATTTGATGGGCTAGTCGAGACGCGCGGTAATGGCGCAGCGACCGAGGCGCTTCAGACGGACGCAGGAGCACCACCGGAGACGCGCGGTTCGAGGCGCGGGTGCGCACTGGCGGTCTGGCTTTAAGGCACGCAAGGCTTGTTGGCGATCGAAGAGGCGACGCGGCGTGAATGGCGCGATACGCGAGCGCTGCGGCCATGCAATCTTAGGAGCAGGAAGAGAACTCAAGTCTAAAGACGGTTCGAATGAGCGCTCCGACCTCGAACTAATGAGTGAAGGCGATTGGTTTTGGAGCCTGTTTCGTTTGTAAGCACAGTCTCCTTCACAACCTGGTTTCTTGCAACAGTGGTGGTAGATTTATCCTCCTTACTTTTGGGGTGAAACTGCCTTCATTGTAAAAACAATTATAGCATCTAAGTTTTCTTTGCTAAGAGTATCGTACATTTGTCATGGAAGAGTTGTTTCGGCGTGACAATTCATATTGCATGTATTTCTACCTTGAGTTTCCTTCCACTATTTATACAACTGTTATTGTTTGTCGCATGGGATTGGACAGGCCAGGCTATGCCAGGTCACAATGGTAGTTCAAGCTGACAAGAGAGGCAGCTGTAACGTCATTGGAAAGACTCTTTGCTGCTCTAATTAAAAGGCAGAAACTGGCATTAACATACCTGAGGCTCTCAAACAGTCTTGGAGACCTATAAGCAAGCATACTCGTTGCTGCTGACGAGAATCAGCCTATTCATGATACACTCTACATTACTTCGAGTTTTAAAAATCAAGCATTGTGGTTGCCCACGGAGACTTTGAGGAGCGAGAGTCCCCCTTCCGGGCTTGGTAGCTGTGCATTGGTAGTTAGGGTTGCTGAGGCAAACATCAACCTCTACATCAGCACCATGACCGGCTGTAAGAGTTGCGCTTTCAGGTTCTCCCTATAAGCTGCTTCGAGACTGGACACCCCAAACACTCCCAGCAGCTTCCATCCCTCGAGCAGCAGCGGCATGCGGATGGGACCGTACACCCGATGCGCATTGAACACCAGCGTGTCGTTGCCCACTGGGAGCCCCAGGAAGAAAAGCCCTCCCGGCTTGAGGAGGCCCCTGATCTGCGTAGCCACAACGGGGCGGAGGGGATGAAAGGGAATGGCACCAGCCGCAACGGGAGGATATGTCAGAGGACATGGCAAATGACATGGCAGATCACATTGCAAATGACAGGACAGATTACATGGCAAGTTACATGGCATATAACGTGGCAGTTGAAAAGGTGAATGACATGAGAACATATGAGTTTTGGGAGCGTAAAACCAGGGATGGCAGGACTTTGAGGCGGCTCAAACGGCAGAACGACGTAGAATGATGTGAGAGGAGATGGTTTAATACGGGTAACATGAATAGTAAGGACACGCACGCATCAGCTGATGCAAACACGTGGCAGGATACATACATTTTTAGCAGAGATCAAACACGTCGGAAGCACGGTTAGGCAACCCATACGAGGAAACCGCATACCCAAACCCAAGCACCTCAGCAGACTTACCTTCTTCATTCTGAGCCGATCCCCATCCGGGTTTAGCGGATCGCCATATCTCCCCAGTCCATCGTGCTCCAGCGACGAATAAGAAGCTACCACGTCAAAGGTCTCATCAGTAGCGTCCAGCTCGGGAATACTCCACAGCCTCAATTCGGGATAATCTGCAACTGGTTTGTTAAAATCAACGGTCGTGATCGACCCAGCTTTATACGCCAAGAGAATTGCCTCGAGCCAAGGGACTTGACTCCCCACCACCAGCACCGATTTCCCTTTCACTGGGTACTTATTAAACGCCTCGTAGAAAGTTAAGGTTGTATTTGCGCCGTAAGCAGAAACCTGAGGGAGTCGCGCCTCTGCCCGTTGCCGTCTTAGGTCGATTTCCTCGGTCGGCCAAACGATAGGCTTCACTCCGGAGTCATGCTTATCCATACCGTAGAAGTGATCAACGGCTTGGATCGAACCGTTGACTGTGAACTCATCGCGAACGGACGGTCGAATGTACGTCCACGGAATGGGTCCCTGGAGGCCGTAGTCCCGAATGTGGAATCTCGAGGGATTCTGAGAGCCTTGCTGGTCACTGGCAGCGATATTGCAGCCGTCAGATGGTCGGCTCGCACTGTCATTCCAAGAAGCCGTGTCTGCACGGTGCATCAGCGATATGAGTTATACAGAGGGATAAGGATGGAAGCGTTAGGTATAGCCGCGATGAGACTAAATGTGGTGTGAAAATGCTAGTATTACGTCATGCAAACAAAAAATATCTCAGAGATCTTTGTAGGGGTTGTTCACTAAGTTGACAATGGAGAAATGTGATGGTTTGTGGGTGTGGTGACGTCCTAAATTAACTAAAAAAAAGGACAAACAAACAAAATCGAGGAAAGAGGAGCGACGCGGGAGCCGGGGCTTACAGCATTGGCTAGCGATTATAGTGGTGGCGATCAGGACGGCTGACACGATTGCCGTCTGCTGCCAGTTCACCACTTTCGCCATACGCTCTGCTGCAGATAGCATGGTGAATGGCTGATGGTTGACGACGTACTTTCTATGAATATCTCGCTCCGATTGATTACTTATACTGTTGCCTCGAATGCAAGTGACCTTGCGTCTGTTCAAGTGCAGAAGTCTCAATAGTTTCGAATCGACTTGGAAGCACGAAGAGGTACGAAGAGTGCTGCAATGCTGCTGTTGTGAACGCAGCTGTGTAAAGTCTCGCATCAACCAGACTGACCTTGCTGACACTGGCTGTTGACAACTCTAAGAATCTGACAGAGGTACTTCTATCGTAATATTCCTCATCGCATGGCATCACACATACGTTCGTTAGTGAAGCTCTGCCTGCTTGCTTGTTCGAGGTTCCCGCTTCCCCGACCAGACCCAACTTGAATCCCAGGCCTATATCTCCTCACCCGCGACCGCAATTACGGGTTGAGCGGGACCAGCTCAGCTATCATCACCAACGGCCACGATAAGGAGATGGAAATCTCAGTCTCGTAGGGGCCGCCGATTGCTCTGTGCACAACCATTGCTTTGGAAAGTTGTCAGCCAACCAACCAAAATGGTGTCAGGTTTTGCCTTGTGCGCTAGACCATGGAAGCTAGGGTGGTTTTCATGAGCGGGAAACACAGCCTAGAGTGGTGTGCTTATGAGTGCAAGTGGGAAATGTTCTGCGTCTCACTGTGACTCGATTACAGTTTGATAAAATTTGCTACACAGGTAATTTCAGAAATTGGAATGGTTATTTCTTCTCAAGAGGAAATAGTTACTTCATTTTCATTCAACACCTCCCACACATACTCGCGCTGAACAACCAAATTGTTGATAAGGTCACTTGAGAACCCAACACACTACACAGTGGACTATTTCAAATTATGTGGGGCATTAGGAGAAGGGGGATGAGAGGGGAGAGGTGTGGGGGTGTGAGGCATGGTGAGAGTCTGACTCACAGCCAGTAGATGTACATCCATCCAACACGATGCTTAGTAAGGTACCGGAGTGTTTCTGGAAATCCCACTCCCATTTACCACTCAAAAGCCAATTCTACCACTACCACCAACACACCAACCCCCTTAGTACCCCCTAGTGACCACGGTGGAGTCCAGCCAGCCAAGGGTGTGCTGGGGCATGATGAAGGGACAAAAAACTGCTCCAGCGTTGCTTGCAGCTTCTGGATTCAGCTACAGCAGCATCGGCCTCTGGTGCGAGGCAAAAACTGACGTCAACAAACCTGATGCTCGCCAGTGGTGACGAGTATGCTGCTGGCTTTGATTGGAGGTCTGAGTTCTCTGGAACACAGACCTTACATTTGTTGGGAATAATAAGTCTTAAGCGCCTCTGTCGTGTCGAAACTCAGGACACTAGCGAAGCAGTCCAAATCGAAACATCGCGAGTCAACCCTCGGAGGTTAGGGTAACCGCCTGGGGGTTACGAGAAGGTCAAAGGTCAGCGACCTTTGACTTGACAAATACAGCGCGACAGCAAGGACACACAACTGACTCGACATTGAGCAGTTGCCCGAGTCGCACTGTATCGAATCGCAACACTAAAACGGTTTTAACTTATCTATTCGTATTCCTTGTACTCTTATATAAACCTTTGTATTTGCTTGTTAAAAAAAAAAACTTACTTTGCCCTCTGTAAGGAATTTTCTCGGCATTCCTTACGGAGCCGACTACATCGCGTACAGCAACAGCCGATTGTTCGCCCGTTACTGCTAACGGAACTTCGCCGACTTCGCGCGCACTGTTTTGCCAAACCTCGCACTGCTGGCATGGCCGCATCGGCCTACGCTTCGGGACTAGCCCGAGCCTCGCTCCAGCGTAGCACTAGCCAGCTCGCACGCACCGCGTTACCGTTTTGCATGTTTCGCGTATAAATGTTCGCTCATGCCTTCGCTCACATTTTGTACTCATTTGACACCTTAGTGCAATTCTCGCTACCTCGATTCATTGCACCCGTAACACTTGGTTATCAGAGCCCCTTTCTTTCGGACCGCGCATCTCCGCACACCAGGAAATCAACTTTTGATTTTTCACTCGAAGGGACTCACGCACCTTAGCCCCTAGGAGCCGCTGTCCTCGCGTTCTCTCGTAAACGCGTGCAGCCACGACTGCGCCTAGACTAAGACGAGCCGACGCCCTTCGTCATGGCCGAAAACATCGACGTCACCACTCTCACGCAGGAGCGTTTGAACGATCTGCTGCGACAACTGCACGAAAGCTCCGAGGAAATCGCGGCATTGACGGCAGAACGCTCATCACTGCAAAATGACCTCCTGAGAGCACAATCTCAAGCACCTGGCACTCTGATTCAACCCGCACCCTCCACATCACAACACGGGAGTGTGGGGCAACCCGCGAGCGCGGCCAGTGATGGCGTCGTCCGCCCCGACGGAGACGACGACCACGGCACGACACACCCCAGAGCGACGCCTGCGGCCCCAAGTCAGCCTCGCGTCACGATTTCGGCACCAACCCACGATTCGGGACTGCCGTCACCGATGCCGCTGAAGCCGCAGCGCCCGCCATGCTTTGACCCGAGTCAACGGGGTGGTCCTACCGTTCAGGCGTGGTTATTCACAATGAATGTTTTCTTCGACGCCAACTACGTCTCGGAGGACTCGGCGAAGATTCGATACGCCGTGTCGTTGCTGCGAGGACCCGCCATGGACTGGTGGCGCGTCATCGTCACGAAGCCGACCGACTACGCGACACTACCGACACGGGAAGGACAAACCGGACCCTGGGCGCCGTCGTATTTCGTGGAGGTGCCCCAGTATCGCACGTGGGACGCGTGGTGCGCAGGTCTGCGCGCTCGATTTGAGCCAATCGCGGCCTCGATCTCGGCGCGACAGAAGCTCCGCACTTGGCGCCAACTCGGTTCCGTCCAGGATTACACGAGCGGATTTCTGGCGCTATGCGAGCAGGTGGGCTACATGCATGAGAGCGAACGCATCGACCGCTACATCGGCGGCCTGAAGCAGGACATCGCTCAGGAAATCCAGCTTCGCGGCGTCACTGAGATTCTGGAAATTCTCGCTATGGCGGAGAAGCTCGACTTCTTTCGCCGACCGAGACCGGGGTCCTACGGAAACAACACCTGGGGACATCGGCCTCGTGGGACGAACGAGAGCGCCACGATACGCGCCGTCGCCGCAAATGCCGCTGCCGCACCGTTCAAAGGGCGCTGCTTTGCGTGCAATCGGCCGGGACATCGCAAGAGCGAATGCCCGGAAAACGCTAAGGGAAAGGGGGAAGCTGAGCAGCAGACACAGACCAAGCAGCAGGGAAACGCTGGAAGTCAGTAGCAGACGGGCCCTCTACTGACAGGTCACGCCGCTCGCCCGACCCAACCGACCCTCACCGAGTGATTGTGCCGGTTCACGCAATCGACCACACCCGGCCGAATAAGGAGGGTACCACGGTAGATAGCCCTATACTGCTCAGTGGGAAAATTGGGACGGACTTAGTTAAAATCTTCGTAGACGGGGGAGCCAGCCACAGCCTCATCAACACTGCTACAGCACAAAAACTGCGACTGCCACTGGACCGATGCTTACCTGAGATCGACGCACGACTGGTAGACGGCACGCCGCTGGCAATACGGGAACGCGTAGACCGAGTTCGGATTCGATGCGGGGGAAACTTCACGTTTAGCCAGGAAATGCTCGCAACGACCCTCGACGGAACCGACATTTTACTCGGGCGTGATTGGCTGCGACGACACAATCCGCGAATTGACTGGACGACGGGTGACTGCACCGTGCGAGTGAACGGTAACAACATCGCCTTACCTCGCTGGGGCTCGCCTGAGTCTTCGTCGGTGCGTGTCAATGCGATCACGATGAAACGCGCTGTAGCGGCCGGAGCTGACGTGTACGCGGTTGACATTCGGGAAGCCAAGGCAGCAGACAAGGGGGGCGATTTACAGAAACTGCTGACCGACGTACCGAGTGACCTGGCGGCACTGTTAAAATAGTACAGTGACATTTTCCCGGATGACTTACCGACGGAACTGCCACCTCAGCGACCGCACGATCACAGGATAGAATTGGAACCGGGGGCACAGCCAACAGTACAGCGACAGTTCCGACTGACCCAACCCGAACTAGACGAACTAAGGAAGCAGCTCGATTACCTGCTTGAAAAGGAATTCATTCGCCCTAGTTCGTCGCCCTTCGCCGCACCAATACTGTTCACACCGAAAAAGGACGGGGGGTTTCGCATGTGCATCGACTACAGGGCACTGAACAGGGTTACCATCAAATCCCGTTACCCCATCCCACGAGCCGACGAACTGATCGACCAACTGCGCACAGCCCGGGTTTTCTCGAAAATCGACCTCCGAGGAGGCTACCACCAAATCCGCGTCAACCCACCCGACTGCCCTAAAACCGCATTCCGAACACGCTACGGATCCTTCGAATACACCGTCATGCCATTCGGACTGACCAACGCCCCCGCCACTTTCCAAATGACCATGAACGAAGCATTCCGCCCGCTTTTAGATAAGTGCGTCATCGTTTATCTGGACGACATACTGATTTACAGCCCTGACAGAGCACAGCACTTACAGGACATCGAAGCAGTTTTTAAAATCCTGAGTGAGAACCGCCTACTGACCAAAGCATCGAAATGTGAGTTTTTACAGGACCGCCTGGAGTTTTTGGGGCATGTTATTTCAGCTGCAGGAGTGGAAATAGACCCGAAGAAAATCGCGACGATTCAAGCTTGGCACGCGCCGACCAACTTGACCGAGTTGCAGAGTTTTCTGGGGTTCGTCAACTACGTGCGCCGGTTCGTCCCCGACATGGCGAAGCTGACTGCCCCGTTGACCGACCTACTGAGGAAGGGGGTTGAGTACACGTGGGGGGAGAAAGAGCAAGCTGCCTTCTCGACCCTCAAAAAAATTTTGTGCTCCCCGCCCGTCCTTCGCATTGCAGATCCCCACCGTCCGTTCGAGCTCGTCACCGACGCAAGTGACATCGCTGTGGGAGCGGTACTGTTGCAGGACTTCGGGAACGGCCTCCAGCCAATCGCGTACGAGTCCCGCAAACTACACCCGCCCGAACGTAACTATCCGATACACGACCGCGAGATGCTAGCGATCGTGCACGCGTTCAAAGTATGGCGATGTTACCTGACTGGCGCCGACGTGACAGTACGGACAGACCACCGCTCGCTACAGTACCTTCGCGCCCAACCGAATCTCAACCCACGACAGATTCGCTGGTTGGACTATCTCGAGTCCAATTTTCACTACACCGTCACGTACAAAAAAGGAGCATCCAACATCGCCGACGCTCTCACCCGCCCCACCGCCCAGCTCCACGCCATCCTACTCGCCCAGACCAACCCGCTTTTAACTGGCCTATTTACCCACGGATACCGCACCGACCCATTTTTCACAACCGGAAATTCACAGCAACTGGCAGAAGCAAAAGGAGTTTATTACGTAAAAACAGGCACCAACCGCATTTGGGTACCCGCGTACTCACTACTGAGGGAGCTGCTACTGCAGGAGGCACACGACGGGATTACCTCAGGACATTTCGGGGTAGAAAAAACGCGACAGCAACTGCAGCGGTATTATTACTGGCCGGAGCTGTTGACCGACGTACAGCAGCACGTGGGCTCGTGCCCGACGTGTCAGGTGATGAAGAGTTCAAGAAAGCGGAAGGCGGGTCAATTGCAGCCGATCCCACCGCCCGAACGCGCCTGGCAGCAAGTAACCATGGACTTCGTCACAGGGTTACCTTCGAACCCTGGGGGTAATGACGCGGTGATGGTCGTCGTGGATAGACTGACGAAGATGGCACACTTCGCTGCGTGCAAAAAGTCGATCTCAGCCGAGGAGACCGCTCGCCTGTTCATCGCAGCCGTCGTTCGCCTGCACGGGATACCAGCAGCAATTATCAGCGACAGGGACACGAAGTTTACCAGCAACTTCTGGAAGAACCTCTGGGAGCAGTTCGGGACCAGGCTACAGTTCAGCTCGTCGTACCACCCCGAGACCGACGGCCAAACGGAGCGGACGAATCAGACGATGGAGCAGTTGATTCGTGCCACGTGCGACGACCCCACGACCTGGGAGCAGCAGCTGCCGCTGATCGAGTTCGCGTACAACAACGCCACATCAGCCACGACGCAGCAGTCCCCGTTCTACCTGAACTATGGGCAGAACCCCACGGTGCCCATGACGCCGAGTCCGGACAACCCAACGCCACGCGCACAACAATTCGCCGAAATCCTGCAAGCTGCCCGCGCCAGAGCCGCCGAAGCAATAAAAAAAGCCAACGTCATCGCTAAGCGCAACGCTGATCGCCACCGCCGCCCCGTCACGTATCAATCTGGAGATTACGTGCTACTCGACACGCAAAATCTGCGACTGCCCGACGTACCAAAATTACGACCACGCTACTGTGGACCATTCCAAATCAGTCACATGATCACACCCGTCACCGCACACCTACTGTTGCCAACCGACTGGTACGTCAGCCCTTCGTTCCACGTCAGCCTACTTCGCCCATACATCCCGACCACAAGTCAACTGCCGCGTCACCGGCCACAATCAATGACTCGCCCTGCATCAGAGCCGATCATCGAGCCCGAAAAAATTCTGAGCCATCGGATCCGCCACCCCACGGGAATCAGGAGGATTGAATTCCCTAACACCCTCACATACTAGCGCAAGGTGGTTCAAGTACTTTCATTCAAACGCTTCCGCTATTACAATTCTACTCAGACTTAAACTCTACAAAGATCCTAGGGCACTTCAGCCCAACAACATTCAGGCCTGGTGGTTGCTTGCGAAGACTGAGGAGATATCCACCTTCAGCATTTGGTAGCGGTGCTTTTGGAGTTTGGCTTACTGTGGAAAGAGCATGCATTGCTCTGGCAAACATATAAATAACTGCCCTCGGAAACATCTACCTCAACACCATGACTGGCTGCACGGTGGCGTTATCCATGTTCACCTTATAAGCTGCTTCGAGGCTGGACACCCCAAACACGTCCACCAGTTCCCATCCCTCAAGCAGCAGCGGCATCCGGATAGGACCGTACACTCTATGCGCATTGAACACTAGTGAATCGTTGCCCACAGGGACCCCCAGCAGGAAGAGCCCTCCTGGCTTCAACAGGCCCCTGATCTGCCCAGCCACGAAGGGGAGGAGGGATTGGCAGGGGATGGGAATGCGAGAGGTGAGATTATGCTACATGCGCTCAGTATCAAATCCCAGCTTGTCGCTGCACACTGGGGCACCCAGGAGGACACATCCTCGCGGTTTCAAAAGGCCCTTGCTCTGCATTGCTGCAAGCAGCGGAGCAGATGCCAGAGGATAAGCCAGCTGAGTGAAGACGTTGAAGGACAAGGGAGCTAGTGCCTTGGGAAGGGTGGCATGAGCTGGTGGGGACTTTCAGGGCAGCTGAAACGGCAGAACGGGAGGAAGTACTAGATGACATGGCTGCAAAGGGTAAGAAGTACCATTGAACTGAGAGTACATGGCTGCAAAGGGTAAACAGGACGTGGTAAGGAAGAACACCTATGACACTAACACATGGCAGGATGCAGTACAATTTAGCAGTGAACAAACACGTTTTAAGCACAATTACCGCATGTCACTGTCAACCTCATATCATGGTTACCACATAGCAGGTTTAACTCCACGTAGGAATCCCATATCACGGAAACCGCATCCCAAAAAACTGAGCACATCATAATCACCTTCATCATTCTGTGCCGATCCCCATCCGGGTTTAGCGGATCGCCATATCTCCCCAGCCCATCGTGCTCCAGCGACGAATACGAAGCTACCACGTCAAAGGTCTCATCTGTAGCGTCCAGCTCGGCAATATTCCACAGCCTCAACCCGGGATAATCTGCAACCGGTTTATTGAAATCAACGGTCGTGATTGACCCAGCTTTATACGCCAGGAGAATCCCCTCAACCCAAGGGTTTTGACTCCCTATCACCAGTACCGATTTCCCTTTCACAGGGTACTTATCGAACGCCTCATAAAAGGTTAAGGTTGTATTTTCGCCGTAACTAGAAACCAGAGGGTATCGCCTCTCCGCCCGTCGACGTTTTTGAGCGACAAACTCGGTCGACCAGACGAACGGCTTCGCTCCAGAGTCCACCATATCCGTCCCGCGGAAAAATTCAATGACCCGGATCGAGCCGTTGACTGTAAAGGCATCGCGGACGGACGGTCTGATGTAGTTCCAGGGAATGGGTCCCTGGAGGCCGTAGTCCTGAATGTGGAATCTCGAGAATTTCTTGAAGTCTTGCTGGTTACTGGCAGTGGTGGTGCAGTCGTTCCACGAAGCCGTGTCTGCAGGGTGCATGCGCAAATGAGTTGCACAAAATGTGGTAAAAGAATGATACTCATAGATAAAGGAAATGAGGCGATAGCTTCTAAATATTTCAGTGGAACTTACAACCTCAAAAGGAATATCTGATGGTAATTCTATCTGCGAGAGAGAGAAGAAGAAGAAAACGAAAGAAGTGCGACGCGGGAGTCGGGGCTTACAGTATTGGCTAGCGATTATAACGGTGCCGATCAGGACTGCCGACACAATTGCCGTGTGCTGCCAGTGCACCACTTTCGCTATACGCTTAACTGCAGATACCATGGTGAATGGCTGATTACGAATGTACTAAGTATATCTCGCTCACTGATTTGAACTGTCGCCTCGAATGCAAGTGACCTTGCGTCTGTTGAAGTGCAAAAGTCCGAACGACTTGGAAGCTCTAACCGCTACGAAGACTGCTGCAATGCTGCTGTTGTGAACGCCGCTGTATAAAGTATTGCGACAACCAGACTGATCTTAGCAACTAAGGTTTTGACACTCATGCATCTCTCAATAACACGTGCATCACGCTTCCGTCTGGCCTGCTTGCTTGTTCCAGGTTCCTTTCCCGCTTCTCCCGACTTGAATCCCAGCCCTTATCGAATTGGTACAGCACCCGCAGGTACAGCACGATTGAGTGGGACCAGCTCAGCTATCATCACCAACGGCCACGATAAGCAGATGAAAATGTCATTCTCATCTGGGCCGCCGATTGCTCTGTGCCCAACCTTTGCATGGCTTGTATATGCCAACCAACGCTTGTGCTTGTCATCCCATCGAACCCGCACACTGGAACCACGGAGCGCGCGCTTCTGTGTTTGTGTCAGGTCTTCCCTTGCTTTGTTAGGACCTCGGGTGATTTTCATGAGCGGGAAAACCCCCTTATAAATCACTTGAATGTGGTGGGAATGTTCGGCGACTCACTATGGCCCGCTTACAGTCCGCTGATACATGATGACTTTCAGCAAATGTAATGCTAATTGCTTCTCTAAACGAATTTAGGGGGCGTTTCTGTGGAGACACCTGTGTCTCAATCCCCTTTTTTCCGAGTCGCGTATACACATTTTTGCAATCTCGCGTCACAAAAAATGAGTGTATCACGAAACTGTGCGACCAGGCGAAATTTACAGCTGTGCTCATTTGATTGGATTTCAAACTTGACTGAACACCTTCTTCTTCAACTCTCTGGTTCGGGTGGGGTTTTGACGAGCAGAACTTTTTCCCGCGCGAGACTTTTACTGTGGAATGTCCAGGTGCATTGACATTTCGAACCGCGTACAGAGTTGTTGACAATGACGGGTCGATACGCAACTCGTCCGCGACGTCAGCGCGTTTCACGCTGACAAATGAAAAATACATTAAAAGTCGCACAAGGGCGACACGCGTTTGTGACATTGTACGTTATAAGCTGGTTTACGCGTCACAAAAGGATTGAGACACAAGTGTCTCCACAGGAACGCACCCTGAGTACCTTGTTCCAATCCAGCACCTCCCTCACATACTCATGCTGAAATACCTAACAGTTGAAAAAGTTACTTGGAAACACAAGACGCCCAATCCATTTTTTAACTACTAAGAATCCCAATCAGCATCGCCCTTGTGACCACGACAACGCAAAAACCGACGTCACCACCATACTTGTGCCCTCTCAGCAAGCATAGTTGACCCCGCTGAAGAGATGCAGCCTGTGCATACGTATGTTAAGGTACTACTTAAAGCCCGTATGCAAAATAGTGACCCCCCCCTTCTAGTTGGGTCCACTTGATACACAGATTAAGAGGTTTTGTTTGTAGGGTGTAATGTGTTGCACTTTCTCTTTTTTTTCCTGATACTGAACCATCTTTCCAATTCTGATCGAGGAAACTGGTCGCAGGGCTGGGCAAATGTGTCGCAAGCGGTGCCAATTTCACATTCGTGCCACATTCACATTCTCATTTCGACGTCGAGGAAATGATCAAACGCAGAGCCAAACACTTGCATTGGCAGCGCCCGAGCCTTCTGTAAAAAGCGAGAGCTGTAGGAATGGGTTCGGGGTGTGATGGGTGCAGAGGACATTTACAAGGAGAGTCAGGGAGTCGGAAGGGGAGAGTGAGAGGCTGACGGAAACAAAGACGCGAGGGGAGAGAATAAGGGGGCAAAAGTTACTGGTTGGGTGATGGGAGGGGCATTGGGGAGGGGACGGCACGAGGGCGACGGTACGGGACGGGAGGTGCGAGCGCGAAGGCGACGGGAGACGAGAGAACGTGAGCACGAGGGGGATGGGAGGGGAGACCATGGGTGCGAAGGTGATGGGAGCGCAGACCGTGAGCGCAAAGGCGATGCGAAGACGGGCAACGTGAGCGCGATGGTGAGGGGAGGGGAGAATGTGTGGTGCTTGGGAGAAGGGAGGGGAGTTTCTGAGCGCGAAGGTGATGGGAGGGGAGACCATGAGCGCGACGGTGATGCGATGGCGGGGGAAGGTGAGAACGTGAGCGCGACGCCGATGGGAGGGGATGACGTGAGCGGAAAGGGAGAGAGGAAAGGCGACGGGAGGACGATTCGGAGTGATCGCGAGAGCGACGAGGCGGGTAATGGGAAGGGAGTTAGGAGGGCTGACGGGAGGGCGATGCGAGGCAAGCGCAAGGGCGACGAGGTGGGTGATAGGAATGGAGAGGAAGAAAGGCGATGTGAGGACGTTTCGGGGAGAGCGCGAAGGCGACGGGACAGGTGATGGGAGGGGAGGGAAGGAAGGACATGTTGAGGGCGTTTTAAAGCAAGAGCGTAGGCAACGAGGTGGGTGATGGGAGGGGGAAGAAGAAAGGCGACGGGGGGGCATTTCGGGGCGAGCGCGGAAGCCGACGAGGTGGGCGATGGGAGGGGAAATCGGGTTTAGGGACGAGAGGGCGTTTCGTGCGAGCGCGTGGCGATGGGGTGGGTGATGAGATCGCGAGGGCAACGTAACGGACAACGACGTGGGCGTTTCAGGCCGAGCACATAGGCGACGAGGTGAGTGACTGAAGGGGAGTGAGAAAGGGCGCCGTGAGGGCGTTTCGGGACCAGCGCGAGGGTGACGAGGTTGGTGATGGTAGGGGAGAGAAGGAGGGCGACAAGAGGGTTTTCCTGGGATGGGTGATAGTAGGTGGGGAGACGGGGGGAGTGACGAGATGGGAGGGCTATTCGAGGCGAGCGTGGTGGCGACGAGGTGGGTGATGGCAGGGGCGAGTGGAAGAGCGACGGGAGGTCGACTTGGCGAGAGCGACACGGAAACGAGGAGGGTCATGGGAAAGGAGCGAGGAAGAACGGCGGGAGGGCTATACTAAGCGAGCGGATCAGAAATGGCGTTGGAAAGCGGTGCGATAAGTTGCGCGAAGCCTTGCAATGCGAGTAATACGATACTGAGTCGTTTCGGGTGTAAAAATGTTAGATAAAGTGGGGTTGTAGGTGGGGAGAGATAACGCGGCGAGGGAAAGGAAACATGGGCGACGAGGAGGTTGACGATTGCGCTTTTGGCGGGAAAAAAAGCACTGCGCTGCTAGGCCACGTATTACAAAATCACGTCGATAACAAACGTGGTCGTCGATAATTTAGTGCCTATGACACAAGCACCTGGTAAGCTTTCCGCTATACTAAGAGTGGCAAAAAACTAGTAAGGCAAGGGAGTAGAAAATCAGGCAGTACTGAACCCAGGACCAGCTTGATATTGAAGTTGGACCTTGCGATGGAACCCATCGCCAGGGCGATGGAAACCATCCCCAGGGAACGGTCGTGCAAGTGCAGGTCGCAAAAATGTGAGCGGGAAAGTCCATTCTGGCGGGAGCCACAACATCCCATCTTGGCTTAGAGCCAATCACATGAGCTCACTCTGCCCGCACGATTTGTTTCAAGCAGTGTTTTGTCAGACTTGTTTCACTCTCGCTTCTCTTCAAAAAACTATGTCGCAACACCTCTTTCAAGTTGGGATGGGGGTCACTATTTTGCATGCGGGCTTTAAATGACGGTTCTTAAAGCCAGGCCTGGTGGTTGCACGTGGAGAATTAAGGAGAAATATATCCCCCTTGAGCGGGTAGCTGTGTGTTGGTTGAGAGTTTGGATCACAGTGGCACGAGAATGCATTCCTGTGGCAAGAGCATGCATTGCTGTAGCAAGAGCATGTGTTGCTGTTGCCAACGTATGCATAGCTGCGTTCCAAAACCTCTCCTCTACCTCAACACCATGACCGGCTGTATGATGTCCGCATTCAGGTTTTCCCTGTACGCTGTTTCGAGACTGGACACCCCAAACACGTCCAGCAGCTTCCATCCCTCAAGCAGGAGCGGCATGCGGATGGGACCGTACACCCGATGCGCATTGAACACCAGCGTGTCGTTGCCCACTGGGAGCCCCAGGAAGAAGAGCCCTCATGGCTTCAACAGGCCCCTGATCTGCACAGCAGCAAAGGGGACAGATGCGAAGGGACATGGCAGCTAAGAGCAAGAAGAGGTAGGATGTGAGAGGAGATGCCTCAGAGGGGCAACAGGACTGGGCAAGGACATGCACGCCTCAGCTGACGCAATCACATGGCAGGATGCAGAAAGTCTCAGCAGAGAGCAAACCCGTAGGAAGCACGGTTAGGTAACAAATAGCACGGAAACTGGATCACATTAACCGAGCACTTAAGTGCAATTACCTTCATCATTCTCAACCGATCCCCGTCCGGGTTTAGCGGATCGCCATATCTCCCCAGCCCATCGTGTTCCAGCGACGAATAAGAAGCTACCACGTCGAAGGTTTCATCTGTAGCGTCCAACTCAGGAATATTCCACAACCTCAATCCGAGATAATCTGCAACCGGTTTGTTGAAATCAACGGTCGTGATCGATCCAGCTTTAAATGCCAAGAGAATCCCCTCTAGCCAAGGGATTTGACTCCCTATCACCAGCACCGATTTCCCTTTCACAGGGTACTTGTCTAACGCCTCGTAAAACGATAGGGTGCTATTGACTCCATAAGGGCAAACTTTCGGGGCACGCTCCTCCGCCTGTCGCCGATAATTGTCGATTTGTTCGGTTGGCCAGACGAACTCCTTCGCTCCGGAATCGTACGAATCCATCCCGCGGAAATTTTCAACGGCTTGGATCGAGCCGTTGACAGTAAACTCATCGCGGACGGACGGTCGGATGTAAGTCCAGGGAATAGGTCCCTGGAGGCCGTAATCCCGAATGTGGAACCTCGAGGGTTTCTGAGAGTCTTGCTGGTTACTGGAAGTGACGGTGCTGTCGTCTGATGGTCGACTCGCACTGGCATTCCAAGAAGCCGTGTCTGCAGGAAGCGTCCCGGACATGATTTGTACAAAGGGATGAGGATGAAAACGTTAGGGATATACGCGTAGTGGTATGAGAGTGTTACCACTACGTCATAGGAACAAAAATCGTCAAGAAAACTTGTAGGGTTGGTCTCCAAGTTGACAATGGGAAGTACTCGAAGGGGATATGTGATGGTAATAGTACTAATATTACTAATGTGATGGTCATAGTATGAGCGTTGTGGTCCTAAGTGAATGAGCGGATAATAGAATAATTTGGGAGGATAGAAGCGCGACGCGGGCGTCAGCGCTTACAGCATTGGCTCGTGATTATAACGGTGGCAATGAGGGCTGCTGACACGATTGCCGTCTGCTGCCAGTTCACCACTTTCGCCATACGCTCTGCTGCAGCTAGCATGGTGAAAGACTGGTTACTGATGAACTCCCTATGATGATCTCGCCCGAATCTATCACTGATAAGTTACGCTGTCGCTTCGAATCCAACTGACCTTGCTTCGATTCGAGCGCACAGGTCTCATTAGCTTCAGATCGTTTTGGAAGCACGCAGCGCAACGAAGACTGCTACTACTAGACTATTCTTAGCAACGCTTGGAGACGACTCCAGCGATCTGACAACAATTCAGTCCATGGGATTCCATTACATTTCCTGAATCTGGCTGTTCGGATCGAGGAGCTCGACACAACTCTCTCCTTAGGCGTCGAGTTCGTTTTCGCTGGTAACCCTACTCAAACGTAATAAAGTGTTTACGAGCCGTCTTCAAATAAACAGCATCGCATTCCACCGTGATGAGCTGAACTCATTTGACGCGCCCTTACTAGTGCGAATGCGGTGCTGTGCGGTGGAGGGGAGGGATGAGGTAATGATCACCAATTGCAATCACGAACGGCAGAAAAGGCCACGGAGAGCAAGACGATAGTCAGCGCTGTTGATTGGATGGTGACCAACACGCGCCTGGCAATTACTGTGACGGTACCCTGTATAGAAGTGCATGTGGTAGCAGGTGGAAATTACACCGAGGCTGTTAGAGTGAGGATCTTGGATAGGTGTAAGGAAAATTCCTTTTCCTTACTTCGCGTCCCCGCTCAGCGCGTACACCACTGTAGCACCACAGACAGCACCGTTACCACTCGCGAACCCTCGCATCGACAATCCTCTCGCCACCTTCGCACGTCGCACCCCGACCCCACGGCTCGGCGGGTAACCCGCGCTCCGGGCCTCCGCTTCGACATTTTCCCAAACCTCAGTCCCAGGCCCGTCGCGCGACAACCACAGTCCATTACCGTTACCACTGTAGTTTTGCTATATATTCTTCGCTCATGCCTTCGCTCATTGTACCCTTGCTTCGATAGTGCAATTCTCGCTCGATCACTCAATTGCACTCGTAACACTTGGTATTCAGAGCCTACAATCTCTTCTCGAACCGCACCCACACCTTCGCTTCCCCACTATCTCATTTTTTTGGGGGGGGTAGACGTCTCTCAGCGACACAGCACCGCCGCTCGTAGTGCTCTCTCGTAAGCACGCATGGCCACGATAGAGGCTCTCGCTGAGCTTGCCCGACACCCCCGCCGTGGCCGAATTCACGCTCGCGACGTTGACGCAGGAGCAACTTGACCGTCTGGTGCGCCAAGTTGAAGAATCGGCGCTCGAAATTGCGACGTTCACGGCGGAACGTGACTCCGCGCGTCAGCAATCCACGGTGAATACTCCAGCGCCACCACACGTACCGACAAATGCATATGCACAATCGGACGAGCCGATCGTCATTTCGTCCGGCACACCAACACAACACGACAGCGTAGGACAACGCTCAGGTGCAGCCAGTGATGGCGCCACCCAACCGATGCCTGGCATGGGGGGAAACAGGGTCGCACCAAGCCCGCGGGGGCCTCGTGAAGCCCGTCGGCACATGGAGTTCGCGGCGACAAGTGGCGAACACGCCATTATGGCACCAATGTCACTCAAGCCGCAACGCCTGCCCTGCTTGGACCCGAGCCAGCGTGGAGGTCCGACGGTTCAATAGTGGGTCTTCACGATGAACGTCTTCTTCGACGCGAATTATGTCGAGTCGGATGCAGCGAAGATCCGATATGCCGTCTCGCTGCTGAGGGGCCCCGCAATGGACCGGTGGCGAGTCATTGTGACGTCGCCACGCGCCTACGAGCCACCGTCGCTAGAGGAAGGGCCCACGGGTCCAGCTGTCACCTGGAGTTCATTATGCGAAACCGCCCAGTACAGCACGTGGGATGCGTGGTGCGCAGGGCTTCGGGCGCGCTTTGAGCCAATCGCGGCTTCTATTTCGGCGCGTCAGAGACTGCGTACATGGCGGCGGCTCGGGTCGGTTCAAGACTACACGAGTGGTTTTCTCGCATTTTGCATGAAGCGGAGCGGGTGGACCGTTACGTCGGAGGGCTGAAGCCGGACATCTCGCACGAGATCATGCTACACGGGCTCTCGAACTTCAACGAGATTCTCGCGCTCGCCGAGAAAATCGACATTTTGCGCCGTCAGAGACCGGGGTCCTACTACGGACATCGTCCTCGAGGACCGATCGAGCACACCACCGTACATGCCGTTGCGACAAATGCAATTGCCGCACCGTTTAAGGGGCGCTGCTTTGCTTGCAATAGGTCGGGCCATCGCAAGAGTGAATGCCCAGAGGAGCTGAGGCGCTGCGGAGCAGAGCAGGGGAGGGAGTCTCCAAGGCAGGGAAACGCCAGCAGTCAGTAGGAATCGGGCCAACTACTGACGAGACTGCCTGCTCGCCCAACCCCACGGACCCTCGCCGAGTCACAGTACCGATTCATGTTATCAATTGGACTCGGACAAATAAGGAGGGTACAGCGACAGATTGCTCCGTACTGATCCACGGGAAAATTCAGGGAGCAGCAGTGAAGTTTTTTATCGACGGAGGAGCAAGTCACAGTTTAGTTAATACCGCAACCGCACGAAAATTACAACTGACACTTAGCCGTTGTTTACCTTAGATAGACACACGCTTAGTCGACGGCACGCCACTTGCCATACGGGAAAGGGCGGAGAGAGTCAAAGTCCGCTGTGGGGGAAATATCGGATTTACACAGGAAATGCTCGCAATGACACTAGATGGGCACGACATTTTACCAGGACGTGATTGGCTGCGACGATATAACCCACGAATTGACTGGACGACGGGTAGCTGCACTCTGCGAAGTAGCGGTAACTGGGTTGAGCTACCTCGCTGGCAGTCGCCCGAGTCTTCAACGATACACGTCAATGCCGTCACCATGAAACGGGCTGTCGCTGCTGGAGCTGACGTGTACGCAGTAGACATTGCGGTGGTAGAGGGAGCAGAGCAGCCGCGTGATTTCAAGAAACTGTTGGCAGCGGTACCGCCTGAACTATGGGAACTGTTGAAACGATACCCCGGGACTTTTCCCGACGACTTACCGGAAGGGCTGCCACCTCAGCGAGCACATGACCACCGAATAGAATTAGAACCAGGGGCACAGCCAACTGTACAGCGCCAGTTCAGACTGATACAACCCAAGCTCGACGAACTGAGGAAGCAGTTAGACTACTTATTAGAGAAGAAATTCATCCGACCGAGCTCGTCACCGTTCGCCGCACCGATACTGTTCACGCCAAAAAAAGAAGGAGGGTTTCGCTGTCAGAACATTATAGCTCATGCATATTGTGTAGGCTATAGTGGGGTAGCCCATAAGGGGTACAACCCAATTAGGGTTAGTACTTGTACCCAATTCATTCATAGTTGATTGATTCCTTGTTTCTTCTCATGGTATCGAGCAGGTTCCCTAACGGGAACGATTCCTAGGGCCCACCACTACGATTTTTTTTCCTGCCCGGAGCACGCTCCACTCAGCCCGAGTCGCGCTCCGTGTGCTCTCCCTACCGGCACGCCCTCGCTAGGCCCCTCACGGCCTCGTCGCGTCGCCCCTAGCGGCCCTCTCACGGCCCGTCGCGCCGCCCTTACGGCCCGTCGCGCCGCCCTTAGTGGCCCGTCGCGCCGCCTCCTTCGCGGCCCCGTCGTACCGCCCTCTGCGGCTCGTCGCCGCCTCCTTCAGCAGCGTTGCCGCCTCCCCCTTGCGGCCCGTTGCCGCCTCCCCCTTGCGGCCCGTCGCCGCCTCCCCCCTTGCGGCCCGTCGCCGCCTCTTACAGCAGCCCCACCGACCCAGCGCGCCGCCCTAGCGGCCTCTTGCGCCGCCTGTCGGCCCCGCTTGCTGCCCTTGCGGCCCTTCGAGCCGCCCGTCGGCCCACCGTGAGCCGCCCTAGCGGCATCGACGCCGCCCTTCCCGGCCCCGACGCCACCTTGGCTGGCCCCTGCGCCTGCTCCTACGGCCCCGGCGCCTGCTCCTACGACCCCGACGCCTGCTCCTACGGCCCCGGCGCCTGCTCCTACGGCCCCGACGCCTGCTCATACGGCCCCGGCCCCTGCTCCTACGGCCCCGGCGCCTTTTGCCTACGGCCCCTGGCGCCTGCTCCTACGGCCCCGGTGCCGCCCTTCCCGGCTCCGACGCCACCTCCTACCGGCCCCACCGCCGTCCCTGATCAGAAGCCGCAGCCGCCAAGCCGCCCAGCGATCGAGCCGCCGAGCCGCCGAGCCGCCCAGCAACCGAGCAGCCGAGCCGCCCAGCCACCGAGCCGCCCAGCAGCAGAGCCGCCAAGCCGCCCAGCAGCCGAGCCGCCGAGCCGCCCAGCAGAGGAACCGCCGAGCTGCCCAGCAGCCGAGCAGCTGAGCCGCCGAGCCGCCCAGCAGCCGAGCCGCCGAGCCGCCCAGCAGCCGAGCAGCCGAGCCGCCGAGCCGCCCTGCGGCCGAGCCACCCGAGCCGCCGAGCCGCCCTGTCCGGTAAGAGCAGCGCCTCTACCCCTGCACTGCCCTTACCCTACTATTCGTTCTGCTAGTCTACTGCTGTCATGGCTACCCCTAGTGTCCTAGCTTTTGACGGTGAGGGTCGGGCCATTGACTTTGACGTCAGGGTCGACGACCTGCAGCTTTTCTTACAGTGCGACAGGGCAGACGGCCTCTCCCTCTTTGACCTCACTTCTGGTGCCTCTCCTGCCCCCGCGGCTGATGCTGACGCCACTGTTCGCTCACAGTGGGCGACGCGCGATGCTGCTGCACGTCTTGTTGTGCGTCGCCACCTGCCTACCTCTGAGCGTGCGCACTTTAGCCAGTACAAGAGTGCTCAGACCTTGTACGACGCTGTAGTTGCACACTACTCCTCCCCTGCCACTGCTGCACTGAGCCGCCTCATGCTACCGTACCTCTTCCTTGACCTTGCTGCCTTTCCCACAGTCGCTGACCTCATTACGCACCTCCGCACTAGTGACACTCGCTACCGCGCTGTGCTTCCTGCTAAGTTCTGCGCCAAGAC